TTTCATCTATTGTCTTTGAAGTGCGTCTTTGAAGGTTTTTTTTGTGATTCATTAACCTGGAGAAAGGTTACTATAAAAAACACTGTAATATCACATTGATCCTTTTGCCTTTTTAATTCATACCATATACATGGAATTTTATTTGTGCAGTCTGTCTACTCATAGGAAAAAAACAAAACATTGACTGCTGCCAAAGGCATACAATTCTTTCTTATGATTTTGAAAAATCTATCTAGATATTAGAATAATTACATATGTTTGCTATTACGTCAACATCAGCTATTATAAATGGCTTCTCATGCCTAAGTTTTTTACTTACATCTGGCTTATAACTGAGTATTGGTGGAAAGGTTGATAGTGTACTGAATGATGCAGGCTATCTTCACCCAACTTGTTAACTATCCTGGGTTCATCCGTGCTTTCAGAGTCTGAAGTATGTCTCCTAAATAACTGTTGGGAGAGAAAAATGGGTATGTCTGATACTAAAATGAAGCTATAACAATTCTTTCTATATAATGGGGCCCAGTAAAAATCTGTGGAACAAACCCCCATTTAAAGCTTTTGTTTCAGGCAGTAATATAATTTTACTGTCCTAAAATTTTAGGCTGTGTATTTTGGATCAGTGTCCTTGACGGAAGTTAGACGAATGTTAGAAGAATCTGCTGGGAAAACTATAGCCTATATCCCTCCCCACCTCCACCTGCTCCAATGTGGGAAGACGTAAGATAATTCGTGGCAGATTAATACTACCAACCTGAAGTCTCTAGAAGTGCATTATGAATTATAAAGATAAATGTATGTTGTTATTTCTTTAAATCTGTAATTTTCCATTTAAAAAAATCTACTAGCTAAATAAACTGCCAGGGATTTAAAGAAAATTAATGATTATGTTTTGGTTTGCCAGAACGCAAATATTTTACTTGCCACAGACTGAAATTAATAGGAAAAAAAAAAAAAAGCTCCATTCAGAAGAAAGAGCTAAGCAATTAACTTTTCTCTTTCTTAAAACACTGACATGAACATGGATAACATAAACTTCTAGGTGAGACTGAAAAGTCTTCTTTCACATGCCAAAGAGGAATTCAAACTTCAGAAAAGGAAAAAAACTCAACAGGAAGAGAATTATGAATAAAGGTCAGTGATGATTCTGGACTAGCAGTAATATTTTTTATTTATTTTACTTTTCCCTTAGGCTGCTTAAGGGTTTGTTCTCAAATCATGTCCAGAAGGAAGCCTGTAAAGCAGTATTCTATCATTTTCTTCTTTCCACTGAGAATGCTCATTCTAGTGAGCCTTTTAGTTAGATATAGTTAGCATAAGACATCTCGTTACCGGATAGAGTGATTTCCTATTTTTGGGCAGTCAACAACAGTCAGCGAGATACAACAGAAGTGTCTCTGGGCAACACTGAACAAAGAATCATCAAATCAAAGAAATGTTAGAATTGGAAGGGATCTTAAAGATCTTCCAGTTCACTGGTTAACAAACAATTTCTGATCAGAGGACTTCAAGGGGGAAATGGGCACAAAGTCGGGTTTTAAAACTATTTTCAGTATTTCAAAAGCCTAAACAGTTGTGATATTAATCATGAAAAGTCTGCAGCAATTCCTTGCTTTTGCTTAGGATTAGATGAATTGTTAAATTCAGCACTAGTTATATTAATCAGACCAAAAGTTCCTATTTACATTTACAAGAAATAACAAAGATCAGAGCAGAACTGAAGGAGATAGACACACAAAAAATCAACCCTTCAAAAAATCAATAAACCCAGAAACTGGTTTTTTGAAAAGATCAACAAAATAGACAGACTGCTAGCTAGATTAATAAAAAAGAAAAGAGAGAAGAATCAAATAGATGCAATAAAAAAAGATAAAGGGGATGGGGCGATATCACCACCGATACCACAGAAATACAAACTACCATCAGAAATGGGGATGGGGGATATCACCACCAATTCCACAGAAATACAAATTATCATCAGAAATTACTACAAACAACTCTATGCACATAAACCAGTAAACCTGGAAGAAATAGATGAATTCCTGGACACATGCACCCTCCCAAGCCTAAACCAGGAAGAAGTTGAAACCCTGAGTAGACCAATAATAAGGGCTGAAGTTGGGGCAGCAATTAATAGCCTACCAACTGAAAAAGGCGCAGGTCCAGATGGGTTCACAGCCAAATTCTACCAGACATACAAAGAGGAGCTGGTACCACTCCTTCTGAAACTATTCCAAACAATCCAAAAAGAGGGAATCCTTCCCAAATCATTTTATGAGACCAACATCATCCTGATACCAAAACCCGGAAGAGACTCAACAAAAAAAGAAAACTTCAGGCCAATATCCATGATGAACATAGATGCAAAAATCTTTAATAAAATACTGGCAAACTGACTGCAACAGGACATCAAAAGCTTATCCATCACAATGAAGTAGGCTTCATCCTGGGGATGCAAGGCTGGTTCAACATACGCAAGTCTATAAACATAATCCATCACATAAACAGAACCAAAGACAAAAACTACATGAGCATCTCAATAGATGCAGAGAAGGCCTTCGACAAATTTCAACAGCCCTTTATGGTAAAAACCCTCAATAAACTAGGTATTGACGGAACGTGTCTCAAAATAATAAAAGCTATTTACGACAAACCCACAGCCAATATCATACTGAATGGGCAAAAACTGGAAGCATTCCCTTTGAAATCTGGCACTAGACAAGGATGCCCTCTCTCACCACTCCTATTCAATATAGTATTGGAAGTTCTAGCCAGAGCAATCAGGCAAGAAAAAGAAATAAAGGATATTCAATTAGGAAAGGAGGAAGTCAAATCGTCTCTATTTGCAGATGACATTATTGTATATTTAGAAGACCCTGTCATCTCAGCCTCAAATCTCCTTAAACTGATAAGCAACTTCAGCAAAGTCTAAGGGTACAAAATCAATGTGCAGAAATCACAAGCATTCCTATACATCAATAACAGACTTAAAGAGAGCCAAATCAAGAAAGAACTGCCATTCACAACTGCTACAATAAAATACCTACCTAGGAATACAACTAACAAAGGATATAAAGTATCTCTTCAAGGAGAACTACAAACCACTGCTCAAGGAAATAAGAGAGGACACAAACAGATGGAAAAACATTCCATGCTCATGGTTAGAAAGAATCAATATTATGAAAATGGCCATACTGCCCACAGTAATTTATAGATTCAATGCTATCCCCATCAAGCTTCCTATAAGCCTCTTCACAGAACTGGAAAAAAACCACCTTAAACTTCATACATTTTCATTTAATAGGTGAAGTTTTCTAGGCAAAACCTTGTAAGCTAATCAGTGCTGAAAATTTGAAAGCATATGGTCTTTTATAGATGAGAGTCCAGAGAAGTGACTTGCTCAGGATTAAATGAACTACTGTGAAGCCTGGGATGAGATCTCAAGTTTGCTGACTCTTAGTAGGTGAGGCTTGGGGTAAGGAACCTCATTTGCCAGCTCTGCCTCCACTTCCTAACTTCTTAAAGGCTGGGCTGGTGCCATTCACACTGTAGTCTGTGTCAGGGGTGAATGATCCCCAGAGTTGTACACTGCAGCCTTCTGATACCTGTGCTTGGTAATCCTCTATTTTTAATAAAATGTCACTTAATCTCAGCTATTGACAACAACATAAAGTACTGTGTTTTTCCAGATTGATTTGCATTTCATGGAGGCTTAAGGCTTTAAGGCAAAGAACTGATGTTCTACCAAGAGAAATTCAATCTCTCACTAGGTCTTCTTTTGGCAGAGTGGAATTTCTGGTAAAGAGCCAATAAGGTGGTTTTTTTTTTTTTTTTTTTTTTTTTTTGTTTATTTTGTTTTTCTTAGCTTTGCAACAGAACATTGATCTTTTTGGAGCGGAGAAGAGACATCATGATATAAATGTCTGCAGAGTTGGCTTACTGAATAGGGGAAGTAAAGGAATCCTGCCACGTGGTTTAACCTCTGCTGTTATCTTGTGGGTGTGGTACTGCTCTCAAAGATTTACTTTATCACTGCCTTAGTGTGAACAAGTGTAGTGTCACAAAGACTGAAGAATACATTGAGGCCAGGTTTTGGTAAATTTTAAGTACCTAACGTGTTCCCGCATTACAAACCAAACCTTATTTTCTGAGATAGATAAATTATGTCACATATCTCTTTTGTGATCTTAAGGTAGAGAGTAATCTTGAATATTCAATATTGGAAATCTAGTACTTTCAAACAGATGTCAGTTATGGTCTGTGGAACCATAAAATAAGCATTAAAATGTCTTGCCAAATATCCCAGAATAAAAAATGTATTTAGATTTGCATTTAGATTTAACTAAAACTACAGGGACTCAAAACTAGTAGTGTTTTATATCATTATTCTTTCTTTAAATCTTTATTATAAGAAGAGACAAGTACATTGAGTTATATAATCACACTCCAAATTAGATTATACCAAATAATAAGAAAAATATTTCCTGATGACTCTGGAAAACAACTAATGGAAGTCAGTGATTTATTACATATAAACACTGTAGAGTGATAAAGGCAATGTGAAATCTACAGTTTTATTTGCATTTAGTTTTAAGTGACTTGAATGAAGAAACTGAAGAGACTTTCACAAACTGGCTACATTGCAAAAAAATTTTCCATAAAATTTACAAACGACTTCCTTTCTGCCATTGTTTCAGAGTAGAAAAAAGTGTTTTCCTTTTTCCTCAGTGCTTGTACACTATTATTTTTAGATTCCTCCTCATTAAGTTATTAAGTCAAGCTATTCCTTATTTTAAAAATCAGCCCTACTGGCTTTTGATGATTACTGTTTTTTATTTTTGTTTGTTTCTTTATTTCTCTGTATTTTTGCACAACAGGAACAAGATATTGAAAAAATAGCATTTGCAATCATAAAACTATCCAGATAACCAGCTTAGAAGAGGATTCTTTGGTCAACTGATCAATGACATTCACTCCATTTCATCTCCATGTTCCGTCCATTTCATACTCATCTTTTAATAGCTTCACTAGCTGGGCCTGAAATAACCTGGAGGGTGTAGTTGCTTCCCCTTGTAACCATTAAAGCAATGATGGCTGGGATGTTAAGGAATCAGCAAAATAGAGGAAAGGCATATATTTTAAGTCTCTTTTTAAGAGAGTAGCAATAAAGACGATTAGTTGTCACCAAAATGTACTGACATCCAATCCTTTATGACACTTTCTTCTGCGCTGGAGTCTAAGCATTTTAATATTTCATTTCTTCCTGCCCCATCACGGCCTCCTAAAGTGGCCACTATTATAATTCCCAATTTTCAAGAAAGGCTAACCACTGGCTTAAGGTCAAATAGCTAGTGAGCTGTGCAGCAAGCAGTTGAATGCATGTGGTCTTGAGCTAGATTCCAGGGTGACACCTTGGAATCTGATACTTTTAAAGTTCCCTCTCCAGCTGATAATAACCTGAAGCCAACTTTAAGAACCACTGACTGATTCTAGATCGACATGCTTCAAATCAACCCTTTTCAGGGCCAGGCATTTTTCTGCTCAACTTAGGGCAAATAAATTAAACAGTTGAAATGTGTGCACTTATTTATTCTTCACTAGTATTAAACCAGGTAATCTATATCTGTCATTAGAAAATAAAATACATAAATCTATAAATAGATATATACATCTAAATGTTTGTACAAAATTGAATGTTCATGATTTTACATTTGACATTGTTATGTAAAAAAAAAACTATTTTACTAAGTTAACATCTCTTTCAACTAGTTATAAGTTGTAATACTGGCATATTTTACATGAGACTCTTAGAAAAGAATAATTTAAGTCACTTTATTAGGTTGAGGTGAAATAGAGAAAACTCTAATATCCTGGAGAGAAACAAGCAATCAAACCATGTATTTCAAGACTAAAGAAATGTATTTACCCTAAAATCATCAGTATCAGCACCCCAACAAAGCAACTTTGGCATTTCTACTTCAAGTACACTGTAGCTTGATCAGACAAACACTTATCTAAGCAGTACTTACTTTAGCAGATCCCTTTGTACAAAAGCAAAACAAAATTCATAGCCATTATTTACCTTGCACCCAGTAAAAGCCAAGAGATTTAAGGTAAGGACATTTTCTAATCCCATACCCATGCTAACATCATCAACATTGCTGATACAAAACTCAGAGCAGGAAAAGAAGCTCGACCAGGGATTGCGAGTGGCAGAGAAATCAGTGGCTGATACATGAAAAACCAATAGAAAACATGAGTTCTAGTGTAGGGTAACAAAATCACTGCTCTAAAATGACTGTAAAAGAGTAAATGAAAAGACAGTTCTTATTCAATGTCTCTTTTTCTTTTATATACCTGAAAGCCATCATGCTGATGATTTTGAGCAACATTTTTAGCATACAAGATGGCATTAAAATAACACAATATCTACTCATCAAAATAATAGAAAATATTAGTTAAAATGGAATTGTGAATGGTACTTAAAAAATAGCTAAATCTCTCATGGGTTTTATAATAATCTAATAGAAAAGTAACATTTTAATAAACTACAACATTTTGTGTATGCTAAGTTGGATGGCAATATTAGATTACATCTTCTGCAACTCTGGTGTCAAAAATCTGATAGCAAATTTGATTCTCTGTTCCATTTGTGACATTGTATGACTTGATGAAGCATTCCAACCATGGATATGCATCTACAAAACCAAAAACAAAAATGTTATTTAACCATTAAAACAAAATAAGTAACTCTGAAATAGGTATCTAAGCATACCACTGAGCTAGAAAAGTTGACATTTATTTTGGCTTGAAAAGTAAGTAAATGTCCCTTCCAAATTATTCTCTTTCCCAAATACATTATTCTCTTTCCCAAATACATACTAGATTCATGTTATCGTTCTGAGCAATTGTGACTAATTTGAATTTTTTGCTAAAAATAGGTAACAGTGATTACATCTTGTGTTTCAAAATGGTTGGTATATATATTTAAAATCTAAAATAGTGGTTAAAATGGGTCTACCAGGCCATTTTTTAAATATAAAGATTTACTTCTAGAAATCTATCCAAAAGAACCCAAACAGATAACACAAATTAAAACTGAGAATAAATATAAGTATTCAAGTTAAACTTTGTTATAGATCAACAAAAATTCCTATCATTATGTAACTATTATAAGATGCAAAGATTGACCAGGGAAAGTAAAGCTTGATTAAAAATAATATATAAAGTTAAACCAGCTGCTAAATCTGCAGCTGATGAAATTTCCTACAATAAAAGTTAAAAAGTTGTTAGAAAAATCAAACTGTCTTAATATGACTTAGATCTGCAAGTTTCAACATAAGTACAAATATGACCACATAAGGAAAATTCAGTAGCAGCAGGTATAAGCAGTACAATCTGAAATGAGGAATATCTGGTTTATTAATCAAATGTTTATACAGAAAACAAATCTCATAAAAAATTAGTAAAACAAAAGCTTACTTTTTAATTTTACAAAATCTGAAACTAGTTAACACTAAATAAAAATATTCATTTATGAATTAAACTGGATAACCCTGGAGTTTGTTATAGAAAACGTTTACTGCCAACAATTTATATTCTTGGTCTAATTTCAACTAAAATGCTTGTAGCATGACAACGTCACATGTGCCTGTGATCAAAGCTACCTCCCTTTCCTATATTTTAAAATATTTAAAAAATCTCTTCAATGCAGAAATGATTCATAACTATTTTATCCCTGCCACTGTCTTCATCAAAGTTGATCATACAGTAATCACTACTTAGCAATTCATTTGGAAGCAAAGCTTTCAGACTTCTCAAAGTCCACAGATTACATATATGCTACTGCTCTCTCAAGTAAAAGTAAGTGTGGAATTGTTAAAATATTCTTGCCTACCAACTTTTATTCCTGGAGGACAAAACATATCCATGATCATATCCATACTTTTCTGAAGGTCATCATCCATTAGAACTTCTGATGCTGGAATCTGGAAGAATTTGTCCTTAAAAATATTTTATAAGAGAAGAAAAAAAGTAAATGATATTAATCATTTGTAATGTTATTAACACAAACATATTTCGATATTGTCTAATTAAAAGATAATCTAGACTCAAGATTGTAGAATTCATAAAGCAGAATGCTGGTTTCAGCATTCTAGATTAGCAGATTAAAATGCTACTTAGGAGATTAAAATGCTAATTAGATTAAAATGCTACTTTAATCTTAAAATAGCTTTGAGATATACATAATCAAGTAAATTACTCTGATTTAATAATAATGATGTGGTAATAATGATTTAAAAACAGTGAGGCTATTCTCTTTCCGCATAGAAAAAATATCTTGTGTGAAGCTTAAATGAATATAACATAAAGTATATACATATTTATTTAATTTTTATCTCCCCTACTAGGTTATAAGCTTCAAGAAGGAAGGAATTTTGCTTGCTTTGCTTCCATCACAAAGGATAGTACCTAGCACCCAGCAGGTGGTCATTAAATATTTAATAATTTAATAAAAGGTTAAATGAATTGTGTAGGTAGGAGAAAAATTCTCCTCTTAACTTTACCTCACATATTTTCCAATGAATGTAGTAAACATTTTAACTTTACCCTAAGAGAAGTCTGGGCTTTGACCTTAGCTTGTGGAAGGTAATCTCTAAGCCCTTCCCATGTCACAGGTGACAGAAGTATTTTTGACTGGAAGTTTTGGTCACTGTTAATAGTTTAAAAATATGATGTAGGGTGAGACATTCAGAGCATGTGGTATCTGCTTGATCTCAAGACAGGCTGAAGATCGTGATCAGCCAATGGGCAGTAAACCACAACTATATGATGCAGTCCACTAAAACCTTTTAGCTGAGCTTCCCTATTTGGCAATATATTACTATATTGTTATACTTTGTTGCAGGGAAAGTAACACAGTCTGCAACTCTCTGGGGAGAGGACAACCATAAGCTCCATGTCTGGGACTTTCCTGAACTCTGTCCTACACATCCCTTCCATTATCTGATTTTAATGTACATCCTTTCGCTGTAATAATCTGTAGCTGTCAGTATAGCAGGTTTCAGTGAATTCTATGATGTCTTGAGAATTATCAAAACTAAGAGTGGCCTTGGGGACTTCCAAAGCTACAAATAGTGTCAGAAATGAGGAAGCTTTTGTAGACTGCCTCAAAACTTTATACAATAATATCTATCTCTTCTGTCAAAGTAACTTCATTTTCTCTCATACAAAATGTGGAGGTCGAAAAAATATGATAAAATGTTGACTATAAATAATGCTTCCATAGTGTAGCCGTATCTCTGCATTTTGGCTAAGGTATAGAGAATGACTCTTTAAATCCCTGTTCCTTAATTTTTCATTATTCAAATGATATGATTTCCAGTGTCAAATAAAAAAGGAGATAGATACACAGATGAGCACAAAATTTATGTGCTCATATTTTAACTTACATTTTTAAGTTGCTTTAAGTCCTTTTAGGAATAAAGCAGGTATAAATAAATGTATTCAATTTTTTAAATATTAAAAAATTTAAAAATTTAAAAATATTTTTAATTAAAAATATCTTTATTACCTCTGATACTTACAGAATCCATGAGATACGCTTCTAACACACCTGTTCCATCATCAAGAGTAAATGTCATAATAAACACATATTGGAGCGGTACAACACCCAATACTAGTGAAGGAAAAAGAAGATCAAATCATGAGTCTGCTATTCCTTATTATCAAGTTAAAATTAAAATTGTCTTATAATAGTATAGACCTGTACATTTTATATACTGAAAGAACTCAAGATATTATCTCCAAGTAGATAGATAGTGTTGGAAGTGAATTGGAGAACACCAGCTAGTGTCTGCTGCAGGATTGCTTGTTTGGTGTGTGGGTGAAAACCCTTATGCATTTGGTCACATAAGTCTTCTGTCCTGATTGCTGTGGTGTCAGAGCAGAGAACAGTTTGTGTTTTTTAACTCCACAGACACTCAACTTGTAATTAAGTTCATTTAGCAGGTTTATTTTGGAACACAGGAAGCATGTCTTATGATAAGCATTTTTCTTTTTGAGACAGAGTCTTGTTCTGTTGCCAGACTGGAGTGCAGTGGCGTGATCTCAGCTCACTGCAACCTCCGTCTCCCGGGTTCAAGCGATTCCCCTGCCTCAGCCTCCTAAGTAGCTGGGACTACAGGCACGTGCCATGCCATCATGTCTGGCTATTTTTTTTTTTTTTGTATTTTAGTAGGGATGGAGTTTCACCATGTTGGCCAAGATGGTCTCGATCTCCTGACATAACTCACCTGCCTCGGGCTCCCAAAGTGCTGGAATTACAGGCGTGAGCCACCATGCCCGGCCAACCTGTTTTGATTAAATATTAATGTAATGTATATTTAAAATGAGTTGACAGCCTCATGCCTGTATTCCCAGCATTTTGGGAGGTCGAGGTAGCAGATCACCTGAGGTAAGGAGTTCAAGACCAGCCTGTCCAACATGATGAATCCCCATCTCTGCTAAAAGAGAAAAAAAATTAGCTAGGCATGGTAGCACACATCTGTAATTCCAGCTCCTCAGGAAGCTGAGGCATGAGAATCCCTTGAACCCAAGAGGTAGAGGTTGCAGTGGGATGAGATTGCACCACTGCACTCCAGTCTGGGTGACAGGGTAAGACTTCATCTCAAAAAAAAAAAAAAAAAAAGAGTTGATAACCTCCATAGAAACCACAAAACGTGATTCATGAAATTTAACTCATTGCATGTTAGTATTATGAAAGATAAAGTACAGAATGTTCTAAAAAATAGCATGTAGTTAAACATCATTTTAGCATGTCTCTCTATTATAAGCTAGGGGAATAATTTATACTTTTAAAAAGAGATATCATCTGGTTGAATGGTCAAGAATGTCAGAATCTGAGATTTAATAATTTGGTAAGATGAGGAAGAAAGATGAAATTAGAGATACTGGATAACACGAAAATTTACAGGTTAAGATAAATATCTTATTTGAAAATGGAAGATACTCAATTTATAGAATGTTATATATTAGCTTCTATCTGTGGAACCCATATTTAAACAGGAGGACTAATTAAGAGTGCAAGTAAGAATAAATTAGGACATACAGACATGAACTAGGACATAAAACAGACATTAATACAGGGGAACTGATTTTTAGGTTTCTAAAGGTCTCCATAAGTTAAAACTGTAAACTAAAATCAAGAAAAATAAACTTAGTATCTACCCCAAGGAACCATAAAAACAAAGAAATTACATTAAGAATAGAATGAGGAGACCAAGTTCCAGAAGTTCATGTGACAGGAACCTAGGATTTCACTAGACCACAAATAAAACACGAGATAGCTGTATTAAAAAGGAAAGAAAACAAAATCAAGTGTACAAATAAATAGCTATACAATGCCATTTCAGGCCAGTAGAAGTTGAGTGTCTAGTTTTAGGTAACGATAATTTTCACTCTATTCTGAATTGGCCAAACCACATCTGCAGCACAATGTCCAGCTCTGAATGCTAAATTTTGAGAAGAGCACTGGTTAAGTGTAATGCTTCCTGATGAGGAAAAACAAAATAGTAAAGCATGGGGGAAAGTAGAAAGACAGTGATGGTGCCCGCTTGAAGAAATGCAGACTAAAGGAAGGTGTGGTAGTTATCTTTAAATTTGCAAAGTCTGTTTATCTTACAGAAGAAGGAATAGGTATACAAAGGAATAGGTATACTTTCAGGTATGCTGAAATATAAGTAGGTGAAATAATCTTGTATATAAACATTCAAAATTGTAGGGCATGGAAATTTAGCTAACCTTCTGCCACAGAAGAAGGAATCCACGATGTCTTATCAACCAAGGAATTCAGATTTTGTATGGATCTCAAATTAGAACATTGTTTACATCTAAAATTTATGAAAGAAAAAACCATATAAATATTTTAAAATAATTTAGCTTAATAGTTACAGCTTTTTACAGCTCAAATATGTGTAGTTTTAAAATATAAATTATTAAATAGAAGACTATTGCATCCCCTATATTGTAATGTGCTTGCTTGTTTCAGAAGGGAATTATGAAAGAGTAAGTTTATTACATAAAGGCAATAAAAAGACCGTGTAAGATTCAGAATAAACAATTCTAAATTGAGAATAGGGTGCTGGGTTCCAGGTCCAAATCATTAATTAATTTTGCTCTCAATTTCCTTATTTGTTAAAATGAAAAGTTGAAGAAAATGCTCATCTCTATTCTTTGATTCTATAAGCAATATCTTTCTTTCTTTCTTTTCTTTTTTCTTTTTTTTTTTTTTTGAGACAGGGTCTCACTCTATCACCCAGGCTGGGCTGGTGCAGTGGCACAATCTTGAGCCTCTGCCTCCCAGGCTCAAGTGAGCCTCCCGCTTCAGCCTCCCAAGTAGCAGGAACCACAGTTGTGTATCACCATGCCTAGCTAATTTTTATAATTTTGTAGAGACAAGGTCTTGCCACAATGCCCAGGTTGGTCTCAAACTCCTGAGCTCAAGACATCTGTCCGCCTTGGCCTTCCAAAGTACTGGGGTTACAGGCATGAGTCAACATGCCCGGCCACTGTAAGTAATATCTTAATAAATTCAAAGTCTTAATAAATATGGCCAATAGAGAAAAATTACTAAAGCAGTTAGAACATACGAGATTCTACATAATATTTTTAGTAAGCATATATCCAGAGGTTTGTATTTTATGATGCCTAATATCATAGCTATCTTTTGAAATGTATATAAATTGAAGACTATACAATACACTAAAGTTGTGCATTATTTAGTATAGGGATTTTGCTTTACTTGAATACTAACATATTTTAAATATGAGTAGTATATTTTTTATTATGCATCATTATAATGTTTATGAGATGCTGATAAGAAAATATACTTGAAAAGATATACTCGAATAAAAATAAAAGTTGAAAAGGTCCATACACATTTGTTTTCATTTGCACTTTGGGAAAACAAGAGGGTAACCATATTATATCTTATTGTCTTTTCTAATAAAAGATGTTAATTTAAGGAAAAAATATTATTGCCTAAGAAAAAGACTATGATATTAATTAGCATTAGAAATTAATAAAGCAAGTATAGTATAAAAATTAAAAATTAAAGACAGTAAGTCAAAATTAAATAGAGAACTACTTATTTCCAAAAGCAGTAAAAGGGGAAACAGAAAAAATTAGGAACATAAACTAAATATATCAATAATTTAAGAATATATTTTAAACTCAACTATTAAAACTAAAATTTAGCCATAAACTTTTATTTATGAGTGACATATGAAATAGAATGCCAGAAACTTGAAAGCAAATGGATGAGAGTAAGCTATAAAGCAATTACCTAACAAAAATTTTTAAAAAGCCTATAAAACATGAGAAACCATAAAGTTAAAAAGGCATCCATACTAGAAGTATGGATGAAATTGACAAAAGATTAGTACCTCTAAAAAAACCTTACAACCAATTACATGTATGCTTACTCAAAAACAAACCAAGAAAGAAATCACTGACCTCACAGAAAAAGAGGCAAAAGATGTAAACACGGAATTCACAGTGTAGGAAACCTATGTAGCTGATAAACATGAGGGCTGCTTAAACACACTAGACATCTAGGAAATACAAACAAAGACATCACTGATAGCATCCGATGCTCACTGGCCTAACAAAAGTACAAGTTAAACTAATACCAGGTATAAGACAGAAATAGATTAATACTAAGTGTTGGAGTGAACTTGGTGGAAACTAAAATTTTTATATATTACTGATGGGACCATAAATTGTTAGAACCATGGGAAGAACAATTGGGTATTTTTTATGTATACCTTATAATCCAGTAATTCTAATTCCAGGTAAACACCTTAGTAGTAACTTTCAAACATTTTTGTTAAGGGCTCACAGTAAGAAATTCATTTACTAACATATCTTAGTAATACAAACATACACACACAACTGAAATGAAAGCGTTATGGAACAACACTGACCCTTACTATGTAAAATGTTCTCTATTATCCATTCCCTCTCATTCCATTTCTTACTACAACCACATTATATGATTAAAAAAAAGTTGGTCATGACCCACTGAACTCATTTTATGAGAAGGGAAATATACAAGAAACATAAAATGTGACTTCATTCAGTACTCTCTATAAATGAAACAAAAAATAAGACATATCCACCATTAATTGGTAAACAGCCAAAAAATTCTGATATTTCATAAAATACTTCATAGACATTAAAATAAATAACCTAAATGTACATGCATCAATATGGGTAAATCTTGAATATAATAATGAATGTAAAAAAGCAAGCTGCAAAAGGCTTGACATAGTACAAAACAGTTTATATAAATTTACAAAACAAAAAATATGCTATACTGCTTAAGAGTTCACATACATATTATAATGAAAGCATAAAAACACTAATGAGAAGGATTTAATCCAAGTTGGGAAAAGTACCTATCTCTGAGAAAGAAGGATTAGAGAAGGGATTGGTTTGGAGTTACATTACTTCTCTGTAATATTTAATTTCTTAAAAGGAAAAGTCTGGAGGCTGAGGCAGGCGGATTGCTTGAACTCTGGAGTTCAAGACAGCCTGGGTGACATGGCAAAACCACATCTTCACAAAAAATACAAAAATTAGACAGGTGTGGTGGTGCTGCGCACCTGTATTTCAAGGTAGTTGGGAGGCTGAGGTGGGAGGACTGCTTGAGCCCAGGAGATCAAGGTTGCAGTGAGCCGAAATCATGCCACTGCAGCCTGGGTGCCAGAGTGAGACTCTGACTCCACACACACACACACACACACACACACACACACACACACCACACACACACAAAAGTGGTGGGGAGGGTCTGGATAAAATGTTAACATTTGTTAATCTAAATCGTGGTTACATAACTGTTGTGATGTTACTTTTCATATTTTTCTGTAAGTTAAAATTATTTCATAACCTAAAAATAAAAAGAAGAATCAATTAAAAGATATACTGGCTTTTGATGATGAAGCTCAAGTAATAAAAAATGTTAAAGTGTCTTAAAATATGGAGTATGAACAGCATTTGTCTTAGTTTTGAAGCAACCAGTAAAAAAAAGTCCAGAGCTTTGGCCAGGCATGGTAGTTCACGCCTATAATCCCAGCACTTTGGGAGGCCAAGGCGGGTGGATCACTTGAGGTCAGGAGGTCGACACCAGCTTGGCTAACATGGTGAAACCATGTCTCTACTGAAAATGCAAAAAAAAAAAAAAAAAAAAAAAAAAAATCAGCTGGGCATTTGGTGTCTGCCTATAGTCCCAGCTACTTGAGAGGCTGAGACAAGAGAATTGCTTGAACTCGGGAGGCAGAGGTTGCAGTGAGCCGAGATCATGCCACCGTACTCTGGCCTGGGCAACAGAACAATATTCCATCACAAAGAAAAAAAAAAGTCGAGAGCCTTAAGGTAATTTTTTTGAGACTTCTAGTAAATGAAGAAGTTCTATTACAGAGTTTAAAATGAGTATTTCCTTTCCTGGTTTAGACTTGTCATGGTGCCCAATACTGGGAAGGTAAATAGGGAGAAGGGACAAAGAGCAAGAGCAAGTGACCGAGGATGAGCAGGCAGAAAGAGAAAGCTCAAATAGTGGCTTATTATACAAGAAAAACAGAATTTTATGAGTTTTTATTTTTTACTTTAATTAAAAATCATTTTATTTTCAAAAAAACTGACTCTCAGATCATGAGTCTAATGAGAGAGATAATTAGACACTGAGCATATAAGAGTAAAAACAGGTATAACCCAGGGATTTAAGTCAGTGGCACACAGTTTCATTTAATGGCTAAAGTTTTATGATTTATTGACAGAACACAGGCAATGTCTAACAATGACTTTACCATACAATTAAGGAGGTATCATGGTTATAGTATAATATTTTTCAACAAGTATATAATTTTTCAATCAGGATTTACACATTATGACAATGACTAATACTTGCTACAAATTTAGAAGTTGGAAAAGAAGAGGAATAGTATGACAAAACATATACTATAATCCAAGGTTTCTCAAATCAGAACATGCCCAGGGTGATTGTTTCATCAAGCAACAGAGGATATCTTATCCCTATCCCCTCCTTCTAAATTTAGAAATCTGTTTATGGCTTCTAATGTATTCTTTTATATTCCAGTTTGCAGTGGCAGCAAATTTGTAATTTAGTGGCTCAGAAATTCTGAAATTCAGTTACTTAATTTTTACTAGGTTTGCAGCTCTGATTTTTTTCTCTGTAACTGGCACCTAAATCCTCACTGTGAAAGAAAACAAGTGAGTACCAGCCTCTGACTGTGGCATCAAAAGAAGGCAGCTCTATGCCTCACACATTGTGTGTACTCTCTCTCTATATGCTTATCAAAAGAACAGATATATGTCAGAAAAAGCTAGTACATCTAAGCTGACACACTAAAAATTTCTGTTGAACATATAGTAACCAATGAAATAAACTAATAAATTTACTCTTGAACGGTTTTTAATTCCAAAAATTTTCTGAGTTGAAAACATACCCATAGTGATGTACTGTTCCTTGTATAAAAAATGGTGCTGAAAGGTCCAAGAGTTCCAGGTCTTCATAGCCAGATCTCACAGGAATTACACTATTAAACTTGTTTGAAAGTTTGCAAATTTCACTGAGTGTACCTCCTGTTAAGAGAATAAACCCTTCCAGTAGTGCAAATAAAATGTAGAAAAAGTACAGTCCTATTAAATAGCATGTGATGTATAATAAAAGACTAAGGAATTGACAGAAAAAAGACAATGAATGTATGTGAAAAATATTAATTTATAAACTTACAATCCTGTACATTGAAAATAATCAATGGATAAAAATGCTGAGACTTAGGTAAAACATAAAGCCTGTGAAATTTTAACCATCTTTCTAAATTGAAACAAATTACTCTTTATGCCAGGCATACTTTTGGTTCAAATAACCAGAAGGGAATATAAGTTAAGAGCCAAGATATAATCAGATTCTAATAAACTTTCTATATACTAATTAATATCTGGACAAATTTAGTTTTGAGTTTAAAATAAATCTCAATTTTCAGGTCAATATTTCATTTAAATATAGATATGAGTAGTTCATGTTATATGAATTCACATACAAAATTGGTTCATTTTTCCTGGAAAAATTATCACACTTAATTCTATGGCAGAGTAAACATTCAAATGACCACACTAGCTGAGAAGTATTGCCCAATGGCATGCCATTATTAGAAGGCAGTGTCCTTTTTACTTAGTCGACAATGCTTCCTCTCTCCAGGCAAAAGAATAGGATTTAAAAAATACCTCTGTGTTTCCTAAAATTTGGGTAGAATTTGTAATGTCAACATTCAATTATAAGAGAGAAGCACTTCTGGCATAGCAGAGTGAGGACATCCAGAGACACACTTGTCTAAAACAGCAATAAGAGTACTGGCAAAAACTATAAAACCTTTTTTAGAACTCTGGAAATTACCAAAGGCCTTCAATGATCCAAGGCATGTTGAAGGAGTGTTCCAGAAAAATGGCTGAGTTTTTGTAAGAGCAGTGAGCTCTGTGGCATTTTAACTCGCCCTGTTCCCATACTCTTTCCCGTAAGGTCATTGTTATTGGAAGCCACAGTTCTGCTATATCATATTGCAGTCAGATATAAACCCTCATTATGCCAGCTTAAAAACTCAAAACAATATTCCCAAAGCATGCTACTTAAAAGCTTCGTAGCCCAAAAGCTAGTCTGTCTTCTGGAGATGGATACCTAGCTTTGCTAAAGAGACTCCTGCCTACTGTTCAAAACTGCAATAGGTGACCATTCACTAAGTCTTTTCTCTATGAGTCCCTCTTCAGAATTACTATTTCAAAGAAAATGGTGAGATTTCATCTAGTCATTCACACTGACCACACCAGTGTGGCTCTGGCACATAAAGTGGACAACCTTGGTCAAGTTACTTAAACTCTGGTATATCAGTTTCCCCATTTGTAAAACTGAGAATAATGTTACTCTGTAAGATCATTATAAAGATTAAATGAGTTAGTATTTGTAAAGCACATAAAGCCATGAGTGACTACTGGTATCAATATTTTTTGTGATTTCCTCTTAATAAAAGCCCATGAAAGGAAACACCTTGTTGTGTTTGCTACATTACCACTAATGCCTAAATCAGTGACTGGCACACAGTAGGCATTCCATAAACATGTTTTGAACAAATGAGTAAGTTAAAAAAAAGACATTTGCATTCATCTATGTGAATACTAGGTTTCTAAAGGTTTGTATCTGGAGCCATCTTAACAGAGAACAATTTATTTGCAAGCAGTAGACATATTTTAACATGGACTATGGAGACAGAAAGGCCTAAGTTCACATTTTTTCTGACATTTACTAGGTCTTTAATCTTGAGTTCTTCACCATTTTCTTTTGATCTCAGTTTCCTCATCTGTTTGAAAAGGAGATATATTTAGCTTACAGAGGACCTGTTATAAGAATTAAAGATAAAATAGTAAACTAGGTAGTAAAGTGCCTGACACATAGTCTATTTAGTAAATTACAGGTATTAACAACAAATACTATGATAAAATGATTCAGTGACATTACAGTTCCATACAAATTATGTTTCAGAGGAATTTAAATATCATGTCGTTTAAAATATAGTGATAATAATAAATATTATAAACAATTCTATACCCACAAGTTTGGCACTTTAGATGAAATGAATCCATTTCTTGAAAGACATATCTATCAAAACTCACGCAAGGAGAAACAGATAATCTGAATAGGACTATGTCTATAGATAAATTAAAACAATAATAATAATCTTGAAAAAAATCACCAGGCTCAGATCGTTTCAATAGAGAAGTCTACCCAAACACTGAAATGATACCAATTCTCTACTGTGTGTTCCAGAAAATGGAAGTAGAGGGAACGTTTCCTAACTCTTATGAGGCCTGTAATATTCTAATACGTAACCAAATACATTACAAGAATGAAAACTTACAGATCAATTTATCTTATAAACACACATACAAAAATAAATAATATTTAAATATTAAATCAAAAAAGAAAATAATTATTCACCATGACTAAATGAGATTTAGGTATGCAGGGCTGGTTAAACACCCAAAATCAATCAGTGTAATTTATCACATTAATAGGCTAAAGAAGAAAAATTGTATAATCACATTAATAGATGTAATAGAAAAGGCATTTGATAAAATTCAACATCAATAATAAAAATTCTCAGCAAACTAAGAATATTGGGAAACTTCTTCAACTTGATTAAGAACATCATAAAATAGTGACAGCTAAAATTACATTTAATGGTGATATTTTCCACCTAAGATTGAGATCAAAGTAAGAACATTCCCTCTCATTGCTTCTATTCAACATTGTACTGGAAGCCCTACCTAATGTAGTAAGAGAAGAAAAGGAAATAAAAGGTATACATATTAGGAAGGAAGAAATAAGCTGTCTTTGTTTAGAGGAAATCACAACAAAAATTTATGAAATAATAAGCAATTACAGCAATGGTACAGGATACAAGGTTAATAAAAAAAATCAATTGCCTATATATAAGTAACAAACAATTGGTGCTTGAATTTAACATAAAATAATTATCGCCAAAAAAGAAAATACTTAGGTATAAAGCTAAAAAAATGTGATCTATATTTTGTTGGATTTATTTATATGAGGAAAGCTATAAAACCCTAGAGAGATCTAAGAAGATCTACATAGAGAGATAGTCCATGTTCATCGTCAATAACATCAAGATGTTAGTTCTCCCTGTCCACCCTGACTTACAGATTTATGGCAATCTTAATAAGAATCCCAGCAAGTTATTTTTGGATATTGACAAGCCATTATGAAGTTTACATGGAAATGCAGAAGTTTCACAATAGCCAACACAATACTGAAGAAAAAGAAGAAAGTTGGAGGACCAACACTACACAATTTCAAGTATTACTATATAGCTTTAGAAATAAAGATGGTGTGATATTGGCAAAATAACATATAAATAGATTAAAACAGAATAGAGAACAAAGAAACAAATTCACATGAATAAACTGGTTTGACAAAGAAGTAAAGGTAATTCAATGGAGAAGGAACAGTCTTTTTAACAAATGGTACTGGAAAAGTGGACATCTGCATGCAAAAGAAATCTGGACATAGATCTTACACCTTTTACAAAAATTAACTGAAATGCATTACAGATCTAAATATAAAATGCAAAACTGGAAAACTTCTAGAAGATAACAAAGAAGAAAAGCTGAACATTCTGGGAAATGCAAAACTATAAAGATAGTAAAAAGATCAGTGGTTGCCAGAGGTTTGGAGAAGGGGTAGAAGGATGAATAGGTGGAGCACAGAGGATTTACGGGGCAGTGAGACTGTTTTCTATGAGACTCTAATGGTGGGTACATGGTATTCTGCACTTGTCAAAGCATAAATAACTGTACAACACAACAAGTGAACCCTAATGTAAACCTATGGTCACAATAAAATAGTGTCAACTGCATTAACCTGGCATGAATCAGTGAGGGCTGCTGCAGGTCCTTAAAGTCTAAGAATGTCTTTGGTTAACTTTGGTTTATACAGTTTACTTTGGTTCATCTCTAAGTCCAGGTCAGTTTTTGATTTTGTTATTTCCTAACCAGAACAGTGTTATACTGCAGTAAGATCCTAGCCCTTGGCTCAGGCTATACTACTTAAAAATATAAAATAAAAAGAGCTCACATTCTTATATTCCTTTTACATTTCAAAGTGCTTTTACATACATTCCAATTTTTTTTCTTTTTTTCAAATAAGGCTTTTTTTTTAAAGAGCAGTTTTAGGTTCACAGCAAAATTAAGAAAAAGGTACAAAGTTTCCTTATGTCCTTTACTCACTTTATTATCACTCAACTACCCTCTTACTTCCCCATTCTCAACATCTTGCACCAGAATGGTAAACTGTCAATTAAGAAACCTATTTTAACAAACCATTATCAATCAAAGTCCACAGTCTATATTAGCATTCACTCTTGGTGTTATAGACTACAGTATATGTTTTGTTCTTAAGACTTCATTTTTTTTTCCTTCTTTTTAAGGAGCAGTTTTAGGTTCACAGCAAAATTAAGAGGAAGGTACAAAGATTTTCCATATCTCCTGCTACCACACATGCTAGCCTCCTCCAGTATCAACATCCTCCACCACAGTGGTACATTTGTTAAAAATGAACCTATACTGACATATAATCACCCAAAGCTATAATTTACATAGGATTCCCTCATTTATTAAAAATAAAACTATATATTACTCTAATGAAAATTAAATAATGTATTTTTCTTTTATTACAAAAGGTTATAACAAAAGAAAAGCCTTAAGGAAAACAATGAAACTTTAAATTTGCCATGAGAAAATATTTACAGTACATATTTTAGATAAATATTAGATAAAAATCAGATGAAAATGAAAAGAAAATGAAAAAACAAACATGACAAATTTCATTTACAGCTTATCAAATTATCTTGTTTCAATGGTCTCTTCCTTGATTTAAATACTAATAGATGATTTTCACCCTATTTTTATGAAACAACAGTGACATCCAGAGGCCAAGAAAACAGCAACAGTACATAAGCAATCAGCCTCTTTATCATTACTTAACTAGATAATCAGCTTAGCACTGACAAAATTGAATGCAAACCAACAATATAGTTAAATGTAAACACTAGAGTCTAGTGTCCAATTTCAAAGGTAATTAAGATAAATTTATGTATACGTGTGTATATATATTTGAATCTAGTTAACATACATATTCAATTTTGTAAAATTTAAATATTATTTTTACTTTATACCTACTAGGTAGCCTGTAAAATATATTAAACAATAATTAATTAGGAAAATTATGCAAAAGCAGTATTCTAACAAAACAGTGACTTAAGTATCTTACCTTCTATCAAAAGTAGACATTCATTTGAAAGTGGGAGAATACCATTATTTTTCACAAAATGAACTGCTACTTTTCGTCCTTTTTGATCTTTAGTGGTCCAGATTTTCGAATCATATAATGATGTATTTTGTAGCTTGACATCTGGGGTTTTAGTTGCACCATCTTGTAAAATTATATCCAACTCGCCCTCATGTGGAACTTCTTGCCTAAAATCATTGACAATGAAATGATAGAAATCAATTTTGGTATGAGCTTGAAAACTTCGATTTAACAAGTTATCTAATTAAAAAGTATCATTCTTATATGCAGATGAGTCAGTTACTTTTTCTTAAATTATGTAAATTATGGAGCTAATTCACTTTGCGGAATAAATAACTTTTATTCAATAGATAAATATTTGATATTTTGCGTGTAAGCATATCCAAATCATAATTACATTAACTGCTAGCAATTTCCATGCCTGGTTTTGTGATACAAAGTTATTTATAATTGTTCCTAGCACCATTTTTTTTCTCCTCTGTAAGGAATGCTAAATTTCCCAGTAGGAGAAAAAAAATGCAGTGGCCCCCTCTCTTCACTCCAGTTAAATATATACTGACCACACTTAGGGAAAGGGGTAATTCTAAACTAATACTATTTTCAATTCTGTTTATAATTAATAATTTTAAGAAGTCACACGGTTAAGTATTACGTAGTAGAAATGAGAGAATTTGGAATCAAAAGGTTTATGGGTTTATTTTGGTTCTGTTGCCAACTAACTGTGTAACTTTAGATAGTTTCTGTTAATTTCTGAGATAATGTCCTTATTTGTTTAAAAAATGATCACAGAGAGTGGTTTTATTTTACAAAGCTATATTTTATGAAACTCATTGAGCCAAAATTTGACGATACTTGAAGAATTATCTAAAATCCTTATATATATATTTTAATCCCAAAGCTGAAATGGGTAAAGACGGTTCCCTCATTTTTCATTTAAGGAGATTTTATAATAAAAAAATCTCCTCAAACAGTATTATACCCAAATTTTGGAGGCAAAAATAAGCGTATATTAATGAACACAGATAGACACAATTTATAAGCATACAAATATATGGCTATGTACATATATACTTATACATTGTGGCACATTTTAGTGAAAACTCAATTTATGGCATCCAAATGATATATCCATCAATTATCTACATTTTCCAAAACATCCTTTTCGATATTGAAAGATAGGCAAATTGCAACAAAAAGATGATGAGCTTTTAAAAATGATTTTCAGAATATGTCTTGAGCTGATTTTCTAGCAAATATATCACAAAACCATTATATACATTTATTACATATTTATATGATAACTGGTGTTTGGAGTAAAGGCATTGAGAAATTCTTAATTACTAAAGAAAATTTAAATTATATGTATTATCTTCTAGTTATTAAGCAGGACAGAAATCTACCAACAAGGCTCTCTATATCACTTAATTAGAAGTTTCATGTAATTACAACTCTTTTCAAAAATTTCAGTTAATAAAGGTTTATATTTAGGAAGATACTTTTGCAACAAATGAGCCAAATATATTCATCATTTATTATTTCTCATTTGCTTTTATCAAAGTGACTAAGCTGAATTTAGATCTAAAAATAGCACCCACTTTTATTACTATCAGAATTTATTCTCTAAGAATTTAGTATTTTACCTAAAAAATATTACCATTCTTTGAAAATATATATATTCTTAATTTACTTATTCCTAAGACACAAAATTATACATATGTGCACATACATACAGAAATAATATGAATACTTTTGTTTTATTATGGAAAATACTCACAGTAAATGACATTTAGGGCAATGAAGTTTAACAGACTGAAATAGTCTTCTGGGCTTATATGACCTCAATTTTGCTCGGATGCGATACTGTTGAGGAGCTTTCTGTTTCAAAATGGCACATAGTGGTGTCCTCTCCAGATACTGATGGTCTGTAAGTACTGTAAAGAATTTTTATATTAAATCATAACAAGAATATTTATAACATGCATCCTCCTGAACCAAATATGTACTATAAAATCTAATTAAGCTCTATTGTCAACTCCATGAAAGCAAGGGTTATGTCTCTATTCCCGGATGTATATCTAAGGCCCACTATCATAGTGCCAGGCACATAGTAGGTGCTCAACAAATATGTACTAATAAATGCTGGATTATCTGGAGAAGAAATAATTGCCTAGTAAGTGTTCAAAAAAAGCATTTTTATATGGGACTAATGGAAATCTGGCTAACAGGAAAAAAAAGCAAGGTTTATTTAGCTAAGAAAATAATATACTAGGCAACAGTTTAAGTTCTAATTGGTGTCTGCCACAACCGTTTGAAGTTCTAATTAGTGTCTGTAACAAAACACATTGGCCCAATATTATTTGCAGGCTCGCTGATGTTTCAAATCAGTTACTTTTTATTGAACCATCATTTATAAAATCAGATTGTTAAGAACAGGAAGGGACATTAAGGGTGATCTGTCATGGGAGTAGTATACTAGTGGAGAAGTAGTCTGGGAAGTTGGAAGGAGGGAGTGCAGGAGAAGGAAGAGGAAAAGAAAGAGGAAGTTGTGTCAAACTGGGGGAAAAAAGCTAGACAAAAGCACTGGGAGCAATTGCCTGGGAAACAGGTACAAAGGGTCTCTCTCCTCAGCTGCTTGTGGAAAGAAGGCCTGGGATTGTAGTGATCAGTTAGTTTTCACTGAGGAAAGTATAAAATTGCTGGTGACCCTTAGCTTAAGGCAACAGCATGCTATACATTCTATCTTAACACTTTCGTGTGTTTTAGAAAATAGAAATGATATACAAATCTTATAAACTTCATTGGCGAAAACAATGCCTTTCAGTATCGAGCTTTAAGCCAATGAAATTCTTGTAGAATTAGTTTTCCTTCAAGGAACAAATGGCCACGAGTTTACAGTGGAACATTTTACTGTGGTGGCGATTGTTTTAAAAAAACCGTTGGCGGACCTGATGAATTTAGTGTAAATTGCTATACAGTGATAACAACAATTGCCTCGAACTCATATTTTAACCGGAAATTTTTAAACATTCATTTTAAAATGATTTCAAACTTAAGGAAAATTGCATTAACAATACAAAGACGTTCTATAAAATCTTCACGAAGATCTACCAATTGTTAACATTTTTGCACATTTATCATTGTCTTTTGGTCTGTTTTTATCTCTGTCTCTCACCACAAAAATATTACTGAATCATCTAACTACCAGACATTATGCCTCCTTTCCTTTAAATTCTCCAGTATGTATTTCACAAGAAGACATTTTATTGACATAATTACAGGGCAATTTTCAACATTAGAACATTTAACTGATTTACAACTAAAATCAAATTAATAAATATTACTCAAATTTCTCCAATTGTCCTCAAAATGTTCTTAGCATTCATTTTATTTTCAAGTGTAAGATCCAATCCTGGACCATGTATTACACTTAATTCTCATGTCTCTTTAGACTTCTTTAATGTAAAACAGATCCTCAGCTTTTCTTCGTCTTTCATGACACTGATATATTTGAAGAATACAGGCCATTTATTCTGTAGAATAAACACCAATTTGGGTGTGTCTGGTTCTTCCTCAGGCTCAGATTTAGCTTATGCATTTTTGGCAGGAATAATGGATAAGTGATACTGTGTGCTTCTCAGTGTATCACATTGAGAGGCATACAAAGTGAATGTTACTATTAATGTGAACCTAACTTTACTTAGCTGGTAAAGGTAGTGTCCAATCACTTCTCTCCTAAAAACTTACTGTTTCCCCCTTGTATTTAATGAAAATATACTAGAGAAAATATAAATATCTCATTTTTCTTCAAATATTCTGATAGTTTAGAATCCACAGATTCACAACTATCTCAACAATTATTATAATGGGTACAAAATGGTGATGTTTTTTCTAAGTTCATTATCCCTTTTATATTTGTTATTCTACTTTAAGAAAGATATTTCCACTTAACTCCATATATTTTCTTTTTCTTTTGTTAATTATCATCAACATGGGCTCATGCATTCCTATTTTACTCAATTAGTACTAATATTATTTATTTTGATGCTCAAATGTTCCCAGATTAGACATATTCTATCATAAGCCATTTGACAAGTTTCATTAACTGAGAACCTCCTTACTTTCTAGTACTACCAGGTTACTCCATACTAATCTTGTAATTCCCCTGTTCTAGTTCTGAAATCTGCTGTTTCACGAAGGAGCCCTGATTCCTTTGAGAGAGAGAGATATTATTTATAACCCAAGATCTGTGCACTAGGTGTGCTTAGTGCAACTAGAGTGCTGCTGCTTCTATGCCCTTTCATGGAGAGAGAGACAGGGTATATATGAATACACATTCATACTGATACGCACACACACACACCCCTACGATACAAAGGAATGCGTATGGGTGTGAATATATATGTATCATACATACACACAGCTACATCTATTTCGGTATTTATCTATAAAATCTGAGTACATAATGGCACCTCTAATTACAATACAACATTACAAGCTTTTATCAAGCCTTCTCCCATTCATATTTGTGTCTTCTTTCTGCAATTTGAGAAATTAAATTTTTACAATAGCACATTTAATATATTTGTGCTTAAAATATTTTTCTGAAAATTGTTTTAAAATCTTAGCTGATGTAACAGAAGGAGAGTATTTGATAGACACATTATCATTACTAAAATTAAATTAAAATTCTGAGGCACATTGTAAGGAGCTTCTTTATGGTACACTGCTAAATGCATAGTGTGACAGGATAACTCTTCATGTAATAGCTTAAGTCATGTAACTCAAACAGAGATACATGATTTAAAATATATCATGTATTTAATGTTTAAAACATATATCTGTTTTATGAACAAGGTAGAAGAAGAAAGTTAAATATGGACATACTTCAGCTTTCAAGGATATGTGTTCTACTATTAGAAAGAAATGTATTAGTTGGGAAATACAGAAGCAGACTTTATTATCATTACTGTGCCCATATCTCAAAAAGGATACACAATCTTACTTGTAGCAGATAGCTGTTGACATCTTTCTACCTCGTATAATGATACTGACCCAGAGCCTATAAAAAGGAAAAGGCAAAAGAATTAAGCCAATTACAACTTCAGTGTAGAACTGAAAACTATACAACATTGCTGAGACAAATTGAAAAAAAATATAAATAAATGGTGAGATATGCCACATTCATGATTTAGAAGACTCAATATTGTTACCAATTCTCTCCAAATTAATCTGTAGATTGAGCATAATCCTTTAAAAATAGCAGAGGCTAGGGTGGGCACAGTGGCTCACGCCTGTAATCCTACCACTTCAGAAGGCTGAGGTGGGTGGATCACTTGTGGTCAGGAGTTCGAGACCAGGCTGGCCAACATGGTGAAACCTCTTCTTTACTATAAATGCAAAAATTAGCCAAGTGTGGTGCACAAGCCTGTAATCTCAGTCACTCAGGAGGCTGAGGCATGAGAATTGTCTGAACTCAGGAGGCAGAGGCTGCAGTGAGCTGAGATTGTGCCACTGGACTCCAGCCTGGGCAAAAGAGCAAGACTCTACCTCAAAACAACAACAAACAAACAAATAGCAGAGGTTTTATTGTGGAAATTGAAAAACAGATTCTATCACCTATGTGGAAGCACAGAAACTAGAATATTAAATAACATTTTATAAAAGAAGAACAAAATTGGAGGACAATGTACATGACTCCGAGGCTTACTATAAAGTTACGGTAATTTAAGACAACATGGCGCTGGCATGAGGATTGACAAATAAATCAACTGAATTAAATTAAACAGAGAGCCTGGAAATAGGCCCACATTTGCATTGTCTTGATTTTTGACTAAGCAACACAGCAACTGAAGGGGAATGCAAATGGTGCTGCAAAAACCTGAAATTTAGTATGGAGAAAAACGCATACTTCACACTATACTAGTAAGTATTGAATGGAAAGCCTAGACATAAGCTCACATTTATACTCCCTTGATTTTTGATAAAGATATTAAAGCCATCTAACAGAAAAAGGAAACAAATGATGCCACAACTAGAAATTCCTAAAGAAAAAATGTCTACCTTATATCATGTGACTAGGTATTAAAAAAGAAACAAACTAGTGATATATGCAACAATGTAAATAAATCTCAAAAACATATATATTGTATGTACAAAAAGAGTACATATGATTGAATTTTTTCAAAGTTCTAGAACAGCAAATCTACACGTTTATGTATTAGTCAAAACTCATGGAGTGCTACATGAATTGGTTAAGTTGTCCATTTCACTGCAAGTAATTTTACCTCAAAAATAAAAAAAAGAACTCTAAGTAACTACAAAATTCTAGCTAATTATGTTCATATGAAGTTGTTTACAAAATGTACTTATGTCTGCAACTTATCTTGAAATGTATAAAAAATATAAATTAATTAATGAAAAGAGGCATATAGGCCAGGCACGGTGGCTCACACCTGTAATATCAGGACTTTGGGAAGCCAAGTTGGAAGGATCACCTGAGGTCAGGAGTTCAAGACCAGCCTGGCCGACATGGTGAAATCCCATATTTACTAAAAATACAAAAATTAGCTGGGTATGATGGCAGGCACCTGCAATCCTATTGGGAAGCTGAGGCAGGAGAATCACTTGAACTTAGGAGGTGGAGGTTGTAGGGAGCCAAAATGGTGTCATTGCACTCTGGCCTGGGGGGACAGAGTGAGACTTCATCTCAAAAAAAAAAAAAAGGCATATAGAAACAAATACACAGGTGACAAAGCAAACAGTAAAGTATTTATTAAAGAATCTAGGTGGTAGGTATTTGATTATTCAATGTACAACTGTTTTAACTGTACCATGTATGAAAATTTTTATTATGTTGAAAAAATACAGTGTAGAAGAAATAAAAGGGGAGATGAAAAAATATTAAACTTATGAAATTTAATAGAATGACCAAATTAGCATCACAAAATAGGATTTTACTCTAACAAGAAAGCAAAAATAGTAGTCATAGCAATAAGGTTACAAAATATTTTTTAAAAAGAAGAATTTAAGATTTAAAAAATCTATATTTTATAAATACTTTAGCTTAGATTCTATTACATATGAAAATATGTTATGTTTTTATAATTTATCTTATAGGGCATCATACACAAACATATGTATTACTAGTCAGTCCCTTATCCTCAATATTGCTAATAAATGGTATAAAAATCCCAGTCAAGAAGACTTGAATGGACATCTCAGGCTGGCATGGTACAATTTCAATACATCTAATGTAGTAACTAATATTGGCCATTACAACATGATATGGAAACAATGGCAGAACCCATAAAAGTAGTCAATTAAGAAAATGTGTAAAACACACATGGTTGCCCACAAACTGACAAAAATATATTTCAACAGAGAAGCAGATAAAGGGTAAGAGCAGACAATCTGAGGAAGAAGGAATTAAAAACATTGGTGAAAATACAATAAGATTTTCAAGTTTCCAAGTAGTCAGGAAAATTAAGTTAGAAAACGCCTTTTACCTGCTGAATTGTTAAATATTATAGTGTTAACTTCCCATACCATGGAGAAAGTACATTTTTCTGTGCTGCTATTTGGATGTAAATTCCTATGACCTTGGGTAAATAATCTGGCAGCATCTATTAAAAGATGTGTGTTCCCTTAGATACATCGACCTCACTTTTAGGAGTTTATTCTGGAGAAGTAAAAACATGGAAGTACATATATTCAAGGATGTTTATTAAAGTATTATTTGTAAGAGCAAAAAACTGGTCACGATCTCAAGATCTATTAAATGAAAAAGGAAAAAAGTGTAATATTATTACGATGGAACTATAATGAATTTGAGTCATATGAATTAGCCCAGAAAAAAAGGTCTATGACATATTGTTGAAGAAAGCAATTATTCATTATAGTGTGATTTCGTTTTGGTAAAAATTTAAGAAAAAGGCCAGAGTCATATTGTTTATATATATGTTTGTATAAAGATGAAGCGATTGAAGAAATCACACTAAAGTGTTAATCTTACCTCAGGGAAAGGGAATAAAGGCACAGTGAAAGCTATTCGATTAGACATTATAACACATATTACTGTGCACTTTAAAAATAATGAAAGAATCATTTTAAAAGGAGAAAGAGATTGTAAAGAGTATAATTACAAATTATACTGTCTCCAAATGATCGTCAATTGAACTAAATCGGTTTCCTAATGGTAGTTCAAGTAATCATACACCAGGCTAAAATGTTATCACCAGGGTGCTAGCAGTTTAAAATAAGGAGAGTTTTAAAACAGATTTAGGAAAATAAATGTAAAATATATACAAAAAATCAAATAGCCTGCATTTGGATCTGTCTTCCTTTGTCATCAGTTAACAGCTAAGTAACTGTGGACAAATTATATGATAGCCATCCATCAAAGCCTCAGTTTCCCATTGTAAAAGGGAGAGAGAATAATTCATCTCATAGGAGTGCTGTTAGAATCAAAATAATAATTATGCAGGCACTTAAGTGTCTACCAAGAAATGTATGTTAATTTTCATGCTTAACAGTATTGGGGTAAGAGAATAAATCATTTTAAGAATCTCATAAAATGATTTTTTTGGATCACAGAAGGGTAGAAGTTCGGTTGTTAAAACAAAACAAAACAAAACAAAAAACAGAGAAAAGTGACCTAGATTCTAGGTCCCAAAATGCAGAAGTAGAAAGTAAGACAGGCCAGGCATGGTGGCTCATGCCTGTAATCCCAGAATTTTGGGAGGCCAAGGCAGAAAGATTGCTTGAGACCAGGAGACCAGGAGGTAGAGAACAGCCTGAGCAACTTATAGTGAGATCCTGTTTCTACCAAAATAAATTAATAAATAAAAGACAAAAAAAAAAAATAGCCAGGCATGTTGGCATGTGCAGGACTATAAGTCCCTGCTACTCAGGAGGCTGAGGTGAGAGGGTATCGCTTGAGCACGGGTGTTTGAAGCTGCAATGAGCTATGATCATGCCATCGCATTCTAGCCTGGTTACCAGAGTAATAGCCTGTCTCTTAAACAAACAAAAACCCAGAAAATAAGACAAAGTGGTAAAGAAAAAAAACAATACATATTGAGGCTTTCAAGTTCAGATTTGACGAGCCACCTATTCAGGTAGACAATATTATAAAGACACATTCCAATGTTTGTTAATATTTTGTAATTAGATGACTGATTAATTCAATAAACACTAGGAACTATGTATACATCTAACATATGTATGAGCAAAAAGTACTTGGGCTATGTGAAATAAGTGGCAAAAACAATCCTTGTTCCCTTTAAAAACTTATAAGCAAAATAGTTGTCTATGAAATCAATACAGATTTTCTTGTGAATATGCACACACGGTATGTATATATCCTAATCAAATACTCACTAACATCCAGTTTGAAAATGTAATTATATAATTTAGGAAGAAACCATGTTTACTTTTTGGCATAGGACACAGACAAAGATTTTAGTATGTTCCTCTACTATGTGAAATTTTTATTAAGGGAGACAACGAGAAGGCATTAAAAATAATTATGTTGATAAAACTATCTTATTTAGCAGGAACTAAATTGTCAATGTAAAAGATAGTACTTACTTGGAAAGCTGTCATCAGGTTCTGATTGACAGATAACATCTGAATGCTGACTGGCTGTCAAATTTGCAGATTCTAAATCCCTATAATTGAAAGAATAGAATTTCAAATTGCGTAAAAAAAAAGTCAATTTACAATAGTAAATTTAGCTCTACCCATAAAATTCAGAAATTCACTGAAATTGTATATAAAATTTTGTGTGTATATGCATTCTTTAGTTAAGGGACTACTGCTTTTATCAGATTATCTGAGGGTTCTGAGGCCCCTCAAAATTAAAAACTTGAGTGTAGGAAGATACAAGTGGAACAGCAGAATGATGAAATAATGCAAACAAAAATAAACTGGGAATTTAACAAATGGCATTCTGAGTCATAACAATCTCACTCTAGATTCAAGAAGCTAAATACTATGTTGCTATATATAGCAATGATATTAAAATCAGTAAAACTGATATAAAATAAAACAGAAGCTAATTTAGAGTCACACTGATTTCAATGAATTGAAATCTAGACAAAAGTTATTTAAATTTACTGAACAGTATGTTTTCTCTTTGAAGATATGCAGATTTTTAAAATTTCTAGTATATTGACCAAAATGCTTCTGCACACAATACTTGCTAGGAAAACTGTGGGAAAAAGAGAACTAAATATATAGCAGGTTTAAGATACTATTTACTTTCTGGCACACGTAAGTTTTAAAAATGTTTTCAAAAAGTTTAAAATAAAGTGGCACACCAAAACATGTGTTATCTATTTAACTGGTGGCAATTCAGAAATATATATATATATATATATATTCAGAAATATATATATATATATATATATGTATAATGAGAGAATTAAATATTTTTGGAATCTTAGATATGTATCAAATTTTCCTAACTTTGGCTAAGGTCTAGTTTTCACTGTATATTGCTGTACTTGGAGAATGTGGCAAATGATAGAAGAGAAGCATGACTGTAAAAGCCAGAATTTAACTGTTAGAAAACTTCAATTATAACCCTGGCTCTGCTACTACTTAGCTATATGAACCTATAATCAGTTGATTTGTTTCATTTGCCTCATCTATTTAAAAACATGGAGAATGGCACAAAAGGCTATAAGGATCAAACAGGAACCCATCAGAACCCCCAGGAACAATATGATCTTAGAAATCAGCTTAATGAATACCTTATTTACATTTTCTAAATATTTACATTAAAAGCTTACTTTTTCAGTTGCTCCACATCAGAGTTACTTTCTGGCAAGACCCTGATTCCCCGACCATAACTGGTACCTCCATGAAGATGAAACTCTAAACTTAACATTGTCTGATTCTCTGAATTAATTGATTGAAGTTTGGTATGAAGGCTATAGATTCTAAGAAAGCTTCCAACCTAAAAATAGATCATTTGTTATTTAGAAAGCAGGGGAAAATTAAAATATTTCTGATATTTAAAACTTTAATAACTAATATGGGGCAATGACCAACAACAACCAGGGCACTGACCAATCAGGAAATATACTAAAGTATCTGCAAAGTTGCAAAGTATGCTATACCACTGTGGCTGAATGTCAGCTGCATGGACACTAGATCAAAACTAAGCATATGGACATGTGCATGCATACACATGTGTGCACACACATACATATACACACACATTCAATTCTAATAGATATTTCCATTTTGAAAAAAAAAATTGTGTCTTTGCATCAATAAAATACAATGATTAAGAAATCCATTACCTAAATGGAATTCAAGCCCTCTATTTGACTAAGGTTTCTGAAAATGTCTTGCTTTAACTAGTTTAAGGATTAATTAAATATGATCCTTAAGATACTGTCATTACAAGAATATTAAGAAGAAATTTTAGTGTGGTACCATCTAAAAATAATAAACATCTTCCATCTTATAACTTCTATGGAAAGGAAACTTCTGCATTTGTGCCTGCACCACCATAGTGTGAAACACTCTGTGACTTCAAACATGAGTTAACTAGAGTTTTGAATTAAATGTTCCATAGTCAATCTCACATGTTTTGCTAAACTTAGTCTACAAATGTCTTTAATTATAGACCACTGAGATTTTTCTTATAAGGGAGATTTCAAATGAAAGAGATGCAGAATGCTATTCAAAGATACTGACATCTATCTAAAAGAAGAAGCTAGATCACCTAAATCACATTTATATTTATGAAGAAAGGTTTAGAAACAAAAGGAGTTACGAACAAGGAAATTTAATTCATTTGTATAAAAACAGCACTCCTGACTACTGGGTGACTGACTATAGGGATACCACTCTTTCTACCTAAAAGTTCAGGATTAAGTAACAGACATCTTATGTAGCAGAAAAGCTATATAGGTTAAGAATTCTTTATCTGAAATACTTGAAACCAGAAGTGCTTCAGATTTCAGATGTTTTTGGATTTTGGAATATCTACATATACATAATGAGATATCTTAGGGATGAGACCCAAGTCTAAACATGAAATTCATTTATGTTTCATATACACATTATGCACATAACCTGAAGGTAATTTTCTACAATATTTATAATAGTTTTGTGCATGAAACAAGGTTTCTGTACATTGAATAATCAGAAAGCAAAAAGATCTCTATCTCATATTGGCATTCAAAAGGTTTGCATTTTGGAGACTTCTGGACTTTCAGATTACGGAGGCTCAATCCTATCAGGGAAACACATTAAAAAAGATAAATATTAAATGAACTTTCCAATTCTGCTTATTGTAGCTTTTCTTAATTATATTTCTCCTCATTAGTCTTTATTGGTGATGGAGGATATCAGTAAAGGAGGAAAGGAAAAAACCCAGTCTCGGGTGCTACTCATTCATTCCCAAAGATCTTTTTTCTCATTGAATCATGGGTTTTATGAGGAGGAGATAAGATAAAGCCTTTTTTTCTTTTACCTTTTTCACTTACATCTATGTCATAGCCAGGAGTAGTATAAAGAAAGCTAAAGAAGAAAAGCACAAAAAGAAAAATTCATTTTCCTCATAGTCTTCAAAGTGAGACAGTGGAAAAAATATAAAAATTTCTAGTTTTATCTCATTCTTTTTGACTTATTTCATGATTCTTTTAAAATATGTGTACGTATAGATGCATATATATTAGTATAGCACATGTATATACGATTTACAAAAGACTGGAAAGAAGGCCTAACACATGGAGAAAGATATATCTTCATATACTAAAAGCTTTGATTTTATAAAGATGGTAATTTCCTCCAAATTAAACTTTACATTCTATTCAATTCAATCAAAATCCCCAGAAGCTTTAATGGAATCTGAAAACAAAAGCGAATCCAAAAACAAAAGATAATAGTCAAATCAATTCTGAAGAATATGAGAAGGGGGCTTTACCCTATCAAAAAGTACATAAAGAAGAAAGATAATAAACATAGGTGTACATGCAAACCAACATGTGGAGACACAGAGAGAGGGATGTGGGGAGCAAAAAAAAAAAAAAAATGAGAGCAGGCAGAGCACAAAGAAGGTTTGATGTGTAGGGTTTTATTTCCTAAAATGTAAAAGTGTTTGAAATAAATGTGGCAAAACATTTAAAAATAAGGTGAACATACGGGTGTTTATTATACTATCTTCTCTACTACTGTATTTTTTAAATATAACAAAAGTTCTAGGCCAAGATATAAGTTATTCACATAAAGATAAGTTGTTATTATCAAAAATTCCTTATGGAGGCAGCATTGTATTTTTTTAAAAGCTTGACTAAAAATACTACGCAATGTGCCAGGTGTTCTATTATAAAACACAAGTATTGGTTAAGCTTGTCAGTATTAAGATTCTGAAAACACAAATGAAGAATCATAACTAAAAAATTATAAAAACATAGTTTAAAAAACTATTATAGAAGTCTATTTCTATACCTAAACACTAATAAAAAAAAAAAAGCAATGTAAATATGGCTACTAAGAAATGACTATCCCTTTAGAAATAATCGAATTATTCCTCATAAACTGTCAAGAATTTTTCTTTAGGTTTATTATTTTTAATTCCCTGAATATGTCTCAAAATAGCCAATCAAATCACAGTTTTTGGTCAAGTAAAAGTCAAAACTTAATTATGACCATGTATATTATGTAATTAACAATTGTTTCTGGTTAAGAGGTGGGATTTAGAAAGCAAAAGCTTTAGTTTCTAGACAAAAGGTGTGAAATGTCAGTTTATGTGACTGAGTCTATGTAAAATGTTCAAGGGAATGATGTAACATACTTAAAAAACAAGATACAGAAAATAGTTAAGGGCAATTCAGGCTCTAAAATGTATTGTTTATAGATGTTGATTATATTCTATAATTGCATTATACTATCCTCTTTATTAAAATAAAAACACATTTTTTTCCTGCTCCTACACAGCAAAATTCTTTTGAATTGGTTCCAGATATTTTGATACAAAAATGCAATTTTAAACAGTTGTCTTGAAAGTACCAAGAATTCATTTATATCAACGTCATGTGAGTGAAGAGTTTCTAAATTAAAAAGAAATGTTACCCAGGTTGTCAGAAAACAAATAAATGTAATGTCAATGTATTAAATAAAAATCTAAAGTCATATTACAGAGAAAAATCCTTTTCATTTTTATATTGCATTGCAGACAAATAACATAATGCTATATCTTTACAGAAAACACAGTACTATATATTTTCTTAATTATGTGTGCTCACATCACCCTCTAGTGAGCAAAATAAAGCAGACCATAAAAAAGGAGAAAAGAATTTGGAAAAAAACCAAACAAAAAAACCATGACACTCACTGATTCCTTCATTCAGCAGCAGCTATTATTTGCTTCATTCTTACTGGAGGGAAATGACTGTGATAGGTGCTATTTAGGACTAAGACAAGAAAAGCAGGAAAAGCGGGGAAACAGAAAGACCTATGGAAGCAGTATAGGGAAGGAAAAGAGAATTAAATGGTGAAGGTAGGTATGTAGAGTGTGGAACTACGGTGAATCTAAAATGTAAATTCTTTTTATTTATGAAAGAACTCCTTCTATGAAAAAACCTTCAGAACTGGACTTAGTATTTTTACTTTTGAAATAAATGAATCAATGTAGATAATATATTTCAGGGAAATAATGTCAAAAAAATCTTCAACGGTCAGTGTTTTCTGATATGTCACTGATGTACTGATGTATGTGCACGCATACATACACACTTACAGAGGACAAAAAAGTGCATTCAATATCTTCCTGAACCCTGGATTTAATCTAATTTATTGATTTGAGTTGGGTGAACTTGTTTTGTTGTTTTGTTATTTTTTTTTTCTTTTTTCTGAAACCCAGAACAGTGTTGACAGTGAACTTATTTGTAATACAATATACAATGGATATATTTGTTCCTCCATGGCCACTGATTTATAAAGGGAAATTGGACATTCAGTGAAAAGGGAAATTCAGATGTTTACTCTTCCTGTCTTCTTTTAACTTCCTATAAGTAGGCTAGAAGATATTTGTGATGTAGATCACTTCCATTCAATGCTTTAAAGGATTAGCTCTGGAAGACTAGATGGGTTTAAACACTGGCTTCATCCTGATAGGAACAGAGGGTGGGGAAATTCTGGGCAGAAGAGGGCAGGTTCCCAGCAAGGACCCTGCCCTCAAGCTGAAAAGCCTCACATCACAGCCCAAAGTGAGAACTTGCATCCATGTTTTCCTTGCTCGAATGTTGCTTTTTCCAAAACCACCCATGGCCTACCCCACCTGCCATCCTGTACCCATAAAAACCCCAGGCTGAACCAGCAGAGAGAAGAAAGGCAGCTGACCATCACAGACTATAGCTGGATGTCAGAGAAAAGCAGCTTGATTTCAGAGGGATAGTTTGATGGTGTAACTTGGGAGAAGAACCTGGTCAGAGATGGCTGGATTTCAGGGGAAGACTACCTTCCTGCTCCATCCCCTTTTTAGCTCCCCTTCCTGCTGGGAGCCACTTTCATCAGTAATAAAATCCCCTGCATTTACCATCTTCAATTTATGCTTGAGACTGCATACCTCCTGGATGCTGGACAAGAGCTTGGGTGTCACAACTGTGGGTGTGAAAGGCTGTCACAACAACACTCCACTGAACTATTAACCCTTAAGGTGTCATGGACAGCAGAGCTAAAAGTACTGCAACACTTCCTCTGGGGCTTCAGGGTTCACAGACACTCTCTCAGATGCTGCTGCAGGGCCAGTACGGACTTTGCTTCTGCCCAGGCCCAAAAGTCCTTGTCCCGGTTCCTTCACCTGCTCACCTGTGTGCTCCCCTTCCCACAAGGGGTGGGGCACAGGGGGTTCAAGTGAGTGCAGTTCGCCCTTGCCAGCACTGATGCGGCAGGCTAGTTCCAGAGCCTGTGCATTCCAGTTCCTGCCTTCAAAGGGGTCTGGGAAATATCCTGCTTCAATCCAACTAGCTGTGGAATCTTGAATCATTGGTTTAACCTCTGAGTGCCTCACTTCACATTTGTAGCACAAGATGACTATCATCACCTATCTTATGAAGGTGCCTAGCCAAGGTTACTCATGCATATGAAGTGCCTAGCAAAGGTTACTCTTATTATTTACTGTATTATTTATCATACCACTGTTTACTACAAAAAGTACTTTTAAATAGAAGATACAATAGAGAAAAAAATTCCCTACAATTTTTGTTAAGTACTGCCATATCTAAACTGTGTACCTTACTGTACTTCAAAAGACAGTACGCAAATTCTATAAAGTACACAGCATACATGCACACACCCAATTTATAATATATATTAGAGGTGATTTAACAATGTCTTTAACTAATGAGCAAAAAGTTACAAGCTATATTCTATCAAACCAGTTTACCAAGCTTAACATTAACAGTATTTTATATATCCTGTCATTCTAAAGCAGTATTATTTCACACATTTTTTTCACTATTTGCACAGAAGAGTTATGTATAGCTTAGCTTTAAGATATTTAAGAAAAATTATTTTAAAAAATGTTCTAACCCATTAGATTCATCTTTTAATAATTTAATGTAACACACGTTTTACAATTAAAAAGCAAAAAAATAATTTCTAGACTGTAAATATCACCTATAAATGTAACCATATATAAAAAACTTAAATGAGCAAAAATCATTACAATTTATAAAAACATAAAATAACATTTTTTCCTACTCAACATCACCTTCAGAAATTTTGCCACTTGAACATGGTTATCGTAGACTAAAATATCTACTGTCAGATTTTGTAGCCGATGGATGTGGCTTAAATCACCTTCAAGAACAAGGTCTTGTATTAAGACTCTCCAAGATGGAAATGGTGTCCTGGTGCCATCCCATACCTGCCATAAGAGAGTAGAGTAGTTTTATCATCCTTTTGAAAAAATATTGGTGCTAAAAACAGTTTTTTTTCCTGTTAATAGTACTTAAAAGTAATTCAATGTATGCCTCTTAATATTTACACCATTTTAAATATGACATTATTTTCTGATTGTAAAGAACTACATATGAACTGTGGGTAATAAGGAAAATGTAGAAGAATGTAAAGAAGAAAAAGAGTCACACTGCTGTAAGCCCAGACTAAATATTTTTGAGTCAAGTGCTTTATATAATAAAAACAAACCAAAATAGTCTTGAAATACATTCCTATTTATTAAAATGTTTGTATATAACTAGCAAAATTACAAATGCTCTAAAAATTATAAAATACATATATTTATTTGACATTAATCAAATTATTTCTATGAGATTCAGTCTCATTCTTAAGATAGTTGTAAAGCAGTATTCTGAGGTCTCCACACAAAGAAGTAAACGCTGCAAATTTGAATAATTGCCTTAATATGATGATTTTCTGGCTCGAATTATGCTTTTTGTTCTCCAAACTACATTACAGATAAGACATACAAACTACCAACCAGCTCTGGCTATAAATGATGTCTGATTATTTATTAAAAAATGAAAACATAAAACAAATATTCAAAAGATAAGGTGGCACAAATATAATAGACATTAAAACAAATAAAATATATACACTTAGAGAAAATTCAACTTGAGAGTATTGCTAAGAAAAATAATTTATTAATATACAGAATAGAGAAAAATGTAGAATGATGTTAGATCAACAAATTTAGTAAATTATGCTTTTAATGCAAACCACTGGTGTATCATGGCTACTCAAAAATTAAAATGAATGCACTGTGGTTACTAAAAAAGTACCAATATTTGATATTGTGCCCAGTTTTAGATGGAAAATGTACTGTTTTGTATGTGACCAGAGATTATTTCAAGTAATGTCTAGTTCCTCTGTTTTTTTAAAACTGAAAATTATTTCTGATACATAGGAAAATCAATGTCAGGAAAAAAAAAATCACTCATAACTTTACTTCCCAGAGATAAAAACAGTAAAATGTCGGTTTATAGGCCTTCCAATATATTTTTGCTTTGTACATATATTTTTAGTGTGTAAATGAAACTAAAGTAATCACTAAGTAAACTATCATGAAATTCTACCTTAACAAGTATATGTTTAAAATGTCATTTTATGGTTACAAAGTATTTTATGGTGACATTTACAATGTTATTTTACGGTCTTCCTACATAAATAGTGTACACAATTCTCTATTGTTAGTATTTGGATTTTTTCTAATTTTTCTACCAGTATTCTTATTTTCAACTCTATGAAAGATAATATATTTTTCTACTGTATTCTTATTTTCATACTCTATGAAAGATAATATATTCTTTTAAATGCACCTTTGTAAATATTTAAAATTATTTCCTTAAGATAATGAAAATAAAATTGCTGAGTCGAAGGGTACAAAGAGACTTTTGAGAATTACTTTTAAATTATCATAAGAAAGCCTTACTAATTTTTATTTTAATTATACTTTAAGTTTGGGGATACATGTGTAGAACATGCAGGTTTGTTACATAGATATACACATGCCATGGTGGTTTGCTATACCCATCAACCCATCAGCTATGTTAGGTATTTCTTCTAATGCTATCCCTCCCCTAGCTCTCCAGCCCCCAACAGGCTCTGGTGTGTGATGTTCCCTCTCTGTGTCCATGTGTTCTCATTGTTCAACTCCCACTTATAAGTGAGAACATGAGGTGTTTGGTTTTCTGATCTTGTGTTAGTTTGCTGAGAATGATGGTTTCCAGCTTCATCCATGTCACTGCAAAGGACATGAACTCATCCTTTTTTATGGCTGCATCATATTCTGTGGTGCATATGTGCCACATTTTCTTTATTCAGGCCACCACTGATGGGCACTTGGGTTGGTTCCACGTCTTTGCTATTGTGAATATTGCTGCAATAAACATATGTGTGCATGTGTCTTTATAATAGAATGATTTATAGTCCTTTGGGTATATACCCAGTAATGAGATTGCTGGGCCTAATGGTATTTCTGGTTCTGGATCCTTGAGGAATTGCCACACCGTCTTCCACAATGGTTGAACTAATTTATACTCCCACCAACAGTGTAAAACCATTCCTATTTCTCCACATCCTCTCCAGCATGTGTTGTTTCTTGACTTTTTAATGACAGCTATTCTAACTGGTGTGAGATGGTATCTCAGTGTTGTTTTGATTTGTATTTCTCTAAAGACCAGAGATGATGAGCTTTTTTTCCCCGTATGTTTGTTGGCCACATAAATGTAGTGTCTGTTCATATCCTTCATCCACTTTTTGATGGGATTGTTTTTTTCTTATAAATTTAAGTTCGTTGTAGATTTTGGAGATTAGCCCTTTGTCAGATGGACAGACTAAAAATTTTCTCCCTTTCTGTAGGTTGCCTGATCACTTTGATGATAGTTTTATTTTTGCTGCGGAGAAGCTCTTTAGTTTGGTTCCCATTTGTCAATTTTGGCTTTTGTTGCCATTGCTTTTTAGTCATGAAGTCTTTCCCCATCCCTATGTCCTGAATGGTATTGCCTAGGTTTTCTTCTAGGGTTTTTGTAGTTTTTGGTCATACGTTTAAGTCTTTAATCCATCTTGAGTTAATTTTTGTATAAGGTGTAAGGAAGGGATCCAGTTCCAGTTTGCTGCATACGGCTAGTAATTTTTCCCAAAACCATTTATTAAATAGGGAATCCTTTCCCCATTGCTTGTTTTTGTCAGGTTTGTCAAAGATCAGATGGTTGTAGATATGTGGTGTTATTTTTGAGGCCTCTGTTCTGTTCCACTGGTCTTTATGTCTGTTTTGGTACCAGTGCCATGCTTTTTGGGTTGCTGTAGCCTTGTTGTGCCTGAAGTCAGGTAGTATGATACCTCCAGCTTTGTTCTTTTTGCTTAGGATTATCTTGGCTATACAGGCTCTTTATTGACTTTTCAATGTTGTATTTTAAACTAACATTTACATGACAGTTGTTTCCACTTATCTAAAAAAGTTATCTACTACAATTAGATGCAGGCATATGCAATGTTTCTGTAGAGAGAAAATGCAGACTCAACTATTTCAGCTAAAAGTTGGCATATTTTATCTTAGAATTTAAGAATTTTTTAAAAACATAGTGGTCAAAAGATACAATATGCCTCACTGCATAGTAGTAGAGTCTTTGTCATTAGAAGTGTTCAGTGGCTAGCAAATGCTCATTTGTTAACAATATCACTTTTGCCAGAGAGTGTGACTCGCTGACCTAAGATTCCCACTAACTTTGATTTTATTTTGCTTTAGCTTCAGTTTTATCATATTTGACTTATTTAACTTTATGCATAACATGCATTTACAACTTTATCACAGTATTCCATGTGTATATAAATGTGGTATTTTCAACTGCAAAAACTTTGTATTTTACTCAATATCTAACTTCTCTGTTCTTTAATATGGGCAAGGTGTAAATGATAATAAAGCTAAACTCCAAGACTTGTCCAAGTGCCACTGCACTCCATTTCTCGCCTTATTTCAAAGAGAGTATAAGAAATAACCACAGGAGCAGGCTTGAAGAGGCATTTTTCAAATGCATCCTCCACTGGATGTCCTGGCAAGAAAATCATCAGACATCCAGCTTCTCCAGAAGCTATTTTCTAAACTGGGATAGGTGGAAACAGAGATTTGATGGGTCTTAAGTTACTTCTATATCTTACTGATTTAAAAGTAAAACATAGTAATAAAATTGCTTCAAAACTATCCATGATATGCCTATGAAGTAGGCAGTGAAAGACATAAGAAGAGAACCCAACATCAATAGGACAAAAAATTAATTGAATGAGAGGGAAGGTGACCTTGACAGGGTAACAAAAATATTCATGTATATGACTATAAACCATAAGATAACAGAAAACAAGTCTACATATTATTAATACTAAAATTTTAAAAATACGTAAGTCATTCTATATTTAACATGTAGATCTGATAACACTGTATTTCTCTAGAAGAAAAGTGTAAAATTTTAAAGAAGAGTAGAGCTGCATGAATATTGAGGTTCATCAAAAATAGTTAAAGTTCTTAGTATAACAGAGTGTGCCTATTTATCTCATCAGAATGCTGAAATATAAGCTCTTTACAGGCATGCAAGTGGTGCTAACTTATAATTTCAAGTATTAAAAAAAAAATGTACCTTTAGAAGAAATGATGCTCCATCCACTTCTGCTTTGCCCAAGAGCTGACAAGTCAGGTCAAAATACTGCATTGGCTGAACATCACACAATTTTAGTAATGTCCAAGACGGTGACATATGAGTAGATGCCCAAACACGTAAGGCTTCTACCATTTTGTGGTCCTCTGTAGTGAAGTTAAAATACTTGCTTGAAGTACGAGGTATGATAGGTGCTCCCAAAGTTCCCTCAAATGTCAAAGATGCAAAGCCAGGGCTGGTGATACCCTGAGTCTCCTTTTTATACACTTGAATCTAAGAAAGTAGGGCAAAGTAGAAAACAGATACAAATAAAATAGCTTACTGATGAAGAATCTATGAACCAAAGAAATTGGAAAGATTATCAATTTTGTCAGCATAATTAAGAGAGGGCATTTTTAAAAAACTATTTTTCAGTTAATTACCATATGAAATTCTAAACTCAACTGGTGCTGTATCAAGATACAGAACTATCACATAAACTGTGAACCTCTATGCAAAGTTCATTTACATTTTTTCAAGAGGTAGGTCGTAGTCTCCCTAATCCTATCAAGCTGGCATTTTTACATTTTATTAGTTTTTTATTAAGGTGTAATTTTTACAAGGAAAAAGGATCACAAATGAGACTGACTTATGAATATTATAGAAAAGACCAGAACACTTGGAATATGAGAATATAAGGTGAATAAAATGCAGCTCAGGCAAAGGTTTAATCAGTGACTGAGAGCACTGAGACACCTCATAAGCTCTTTTGCTTTCTGAATTTGGGGGTTGTTATGAGAGGCACATATATTTATATTGTCATATCTTCATGAAGTGACCCCTTTGTCCTCATGAAATGGTCCTTCCAAAATTCTCTGACAGTAATATCATTATTTCATTTCCTTTATTTTTACTTAGTACATTTTTTTCTACAGTTTTAGTTCTCACTTGTTTAGGTCTACATATTTAAAGTGCATTTCTCATAAGCAGCATATATTTGGTTCATGATTTTTTTTGTTCAAGCAATTGTTTCCTTGCAATCAGAAACCAGTCCATTCACAGAAACACAATTATTGATATGGCTGTATTTAAGTCTACTATCTTGTTACTTGTTTTCCTTTTTTTCTACACCTCTTGCTGTTTTGCTTTTTTAACTGTTTTTCCTATTGTCCCTTTCTTGTTTTCTTTTAAGAATTCTTATTAGTGCTCCATTTGCTTCTTCTTACCTATAAATAACTCTTCAACTTCTCAGTGTCTACCTAGAATCAATACTGTTTTACTATGTACTTTCTACTTTCCATTTCATACTTGCCACTTCCTATTTTATGCATTCTACTTCACAAATATAACTTTTCAATGATATAATTCTATTTAATCATCCCACCCAACATCTGTCTTACTGTTGTATTTTTCTACATATTTTATAATCTCCACTATGTAATATTACTGCTTTTCCTTTAAATAGGCATTTGTCTTTTAATTAAACTACAGAAATAAAAACATCGTGTTTACATATTTACTTTTCTTTCCCCATAATTTCTTGTAATTTTGTCAGCTCCTAGTTGCTAGCATTCCTCTCTGGCCCGAATATCATTCTTTAGCATTAATGCTATGCAGGTATGCTGGCCATAGACTATCTCGTTTTTCCTTTATATAAAATGTTTTTATTTTACCCTCATTCCTGAAGAATATATTTGCTGGATATAAAATTCGGTGTGAATAAATTTTTCTATCACCATTTAAAAATTATTTCTTTCTTCTCTGGGTGTCACTGTCTCTGATAAGAAGTAAAAGATGGCTGGTATCACTGTTCTCCAACAATGCATCACTTTTTTCTCCAGTTGATTTCAAGATTTTTCTTTCTCTTTGTTTTTCAATGGTTTCACCATGTTTTGTTTGGATGTGCTTTTCTTTGGGCACACCCTGCACAAAATACATTTAAGTCATTGTTTTTCATCAAATATGGAAAAATTCTGGTCCTTATTTCTATAAGTATTTTCTTTCCCTTCACATTCTCTCCTCTTGCATCTCAAATTACAAGTAACATTTGATATTGTTTCATAGGTCTTTAGGGTCTATTAATTTTTATTTAATCCTTGCTCTTCAGATTAGGTAGTTTCTAATGATTTGTCATCAATTTAACATTTATCTGATTTAACCCATCCAGTAGATTTTTCATTTCATTTGTTCTTTTCAGTTACTGAATTTCTATTTTTAATAGTTTCCACTTCTTTCCCTGCTGAAATTTCTTATCTTTTCATTCATTTAACATCTTCCTTTAATTCACTTAATGTAGTTTTGCTTTCATTCCTTTTACATTTTTTGGAGAAAGGTCTTGTTCTGTCACTCATATTGGAATGTGGTAATGTAGAAACATTTTACTGCAGCCTCAACCTCCTGGGCTCAAGGGATCCTCCCACCTCCACTTAATTCTTTGAAAGTCTGTATAATATCTGCTTTAAAGTTTTTGTTTAATAAAGACAACATCTGGGCTACCATGGAGTTGGTTTGAAATGTCTATGTTTTTTTCCTTTTTCCTTGACTAGGTATAATACTTTCTTGTTTTCATGTCTAGCACATCTTTTTTCTTTACTAGACATCATAGATGCTATATTGTAAAGACTCTGAATTACATTGGCTTCATCTGACAAATATTAATTTTTGTTCTTGTTGCCACTGAGTTGTTGTCTGGTCATCTTAAACTCATGAATGCTTGTTTTTATGCTTTGTTGTCTGTTGAAAGTCCACGATGTTTCCCAAAGTCTTTTGCCTTGATGGGATTCACCCTGTAAACTCTCTGCGAAGTCGTCTCTGTAGAACTTGTTTAGGCTTTGATGAAACATGTGTAGAATAGGCCTTAACCTAAGATGTGGTCCTTTGTGAGCTGAGGTATTTTGGGGGTGAAACCTTTGTGTTGTCTCAGCTGAATGTTCAAGGTATTAAAGAGGTATAAACAAGGTTATTTGCCCCTGACTATCTTGGACTTCCAGCACCCCCATTTCTACACATGAACATGTGTGTTTCATGTTCAACATGTTCAACCACACAGCAGCTTTTGTAATCCTTAAGTAGTTCTACCCTGCCAAGTGTAGCCTGGCTTTCAATCAAGTACTCAAGACTATCCCAACCCTGGTAGGGTGGACTTTTAGACACCCTCTTCTGTATAGCTCTTTCCTCTCTGGTTTCTTGTTGCAAAAATTCCAGGTTTCAGCTGCCTTGAACTCTGACTTTAGGTATGGCAGGACCACAGCTTGCACTTCAGCTTACTGTGCAGTGGTTGAGAAAATGTCTGTAGGCAGGCATGTGGTCATGATGGGGCTCACTTCATAAATTTATCTTGGCTCTCTGATCATAACTACCCATTATCCGATGCCTAAAAAACAGCTGTCCCATATGTTTTATGGGTCTTTATGGCAGTAGGGCTAGTCCAGTACCAGTTAGTTTTTCATAAAGCAGAAGTTCACTCTGCAGATTCTAACTATACTTGCCTACAACTGATCAATTACCTAATTTCTCACTTTTAAATGGGTTCTACTTGATGTATATGCTGCTCCTCTTTTATACTCCAATGTCTGATTGATTCTTGGTTCTGTGATCATCATTGTTATCACCAATTCCAGGCTCACTAGTGTAGAGCATTTACCAAAGTTGCCTCTGCTGATTATCATGTTAAACCAGGACAATCTTCCAGCTTAGGTGTGTTGGTAACTTGTTTTCACAGATCATTTATGAGCAGGTCCTCTTTACTTGAGATTAAAAATCAACCTGAATTAGTCTACTTCTATTTCCACCACCACCCTAGTCTAAGCCAACCTCATCTCATGTCTGTAAAACTGAAATAGTCTTCTAAAGCTTTTCCTTCATGCTTGTCCTTCAACAAACCATCTGTTATCCATGTGTTAGTAAGACTGATGTTTTCAAAATGTTAACCAGTCATTTCATGTTTCCATTTAAAACCCTCTAAGGACTTCTTATTGTGTTTAGAGTAAAATCTAAATAACTTATCCGCCATAATTTCATCTTGTAACATCTCCCCTATAGCTGACTAGGATCCATGCTGGTCGTCTTTCTGTTTCTCCAATACCATGGTCATTCCTATCACAGGGCTTTGGCACCTATAGCGTCATGTGGTGGAAAACATTTTTCCTCAAATCTCAGTAGGACTTCTCATTATCATCAGTTGGGTCTCAACCCTTATATCTCCTCATTAGAAAGGCCTTTTCTGATTTTGCTTTATTTTCTTTACAGCAGCTATCACTACTTGAAATTACTTTGACTTATATGTCTACTTTTATATTGTCTGCTTCTCTGCATTAAAACAGAAGCCTATACAAAACAAATATCCAATAAATATTTGCTGGAAAAAAGAGGAGTAGATCTTGACTCTTGCTTTATGTATATTTTTATATGAACTATGATCACTGCAGTAAGAAAAACAGGAAAAATTAAATTCTGATATCTAAAACAGATGTCTGTACTTAGAATGACCTTGCTCAAAGAAAGAAAGCAGGGCTATTCAAAGCTAGTGGAATTGTCAATATAAAGAATGTAAGGAAGCAAGACCTAAATATGAACATTACATGAAAATTATAGAAAAATATAGTAACCTAGCTGGGTGTGGTGGCTCATTCCTGTAATCCCAGCACTTTGGGAGGCCAAGGAGGATGAATCACAAGGTCAAGAGATCAAGACCATCCTGGACCCTGGACAACAAGGAAAAAACCCCGTCTCCACCACAAAAAACAAACAAAAGTTAGCTGGGCGTGGTGGTACACACCTGTAGTCCCAGCAACTCGGGAGGAGGCTGAGGCAGGAAGAATCTCTTAAACCAGGGAGCCGGAGGTTGCAGGGAGCTGGAGGTTGCAGTGAGCCGAGATGGCACTACTGCACTCCGGCCTGGTGACAGAATGAGACTCTGTCTCAAGAAAAAAAAGGAAAGGAAAAATATAGTAACCCTAAATCTATAAAGCAGCCTCAAAATAAATAAAAAATTAAATAAGAAGGCCTAAACCCCAATAACATTGGCTTAAATTATGAAGCAAAATCAACAGAGCTATAGGAAACAGACAACTCTTCTATCATAGCAGTCTTTAAAACACAGTTTAAATAGCTGATAAATTAAGTAGGGAAAAAATAAATTAATATTGATCATGTTAGAATACAAAGCATCCACAAATTTCAAAATGCTTAACATTTCAGAGTACATTTTCTGACTACAATGTACAATAGTAAAAAAAAGCAACTATTAAATAATTTAAATAAATATAAAAAACAAGTAATAATCCTATAAAATTGGATTGATAAAATTCAATATATATTATTTGGATTATTTGAACATAATTCAAATATAACATAGATGTTCAATATAATTCTATATATTATATTCAATAATAATTCAATATATATTCAATAATAATTCAATATTTTTTGAATTTTCATATTGATTTCCTCTCTGACTTACGGATTATTTATAAATTATCTATAAACCCATAGGTAAGAGAAGAAATCAATGATCAATATGGAAATTCAATTATATATTTAACTGAATGGTAATGAAGTTATGATGAAGTAAAACCTGCTGGATACAACTAAGACAGTGCTTAAAAAATGTTTAGTCATAAGTGAATATATTATAGAAGAGGTGGCTAAGAAATTATTACAGCTGTACAGTTATTTTATGCAGAGACAATACTTCATCTTTACATTCATTTACATTTCTCTAGACTGTGAATAGAGCCATGTATGGTCTGTTAGTGTTTGTGTAAAGGTTTTAATAAATTTTAACTTTTTTATAATAGATTTGTATATATTTTATGATAGTAAATGATATACTAGCATCTACATATACTTTAATGCATTCATGACAGAACTTTAAAAAAATTTTTTTGATATTTCTGGGCCAAGTAGTTCGTCTGTAAGTTTTTTCAAATTGTTGAAAATCTCCAAAAAATTTTCCAAAATACTTATTGAAAAAATTCTGCATATAAGTGTACTCATGCAGTTCAAACCTGTGTTGTTCAAGGGGTAACTATATGCTGTTAGAGGTCAAGAGACTCTTTACTCCTGGAGCAGGGGGCACATTAATGATCTCCCTGGATGGGGATATGAGAGAAATTTCTAAAGTGTTAGCTATATGACTATGGTTATATTGTTAATGATGAAATGTTTATCTATTTGCTATTAAATAGTAACCTCCATAAAGAATAACCAGAATAACAACTAAAACATTTAAGAAGGGAGAGTGTACTATTAGAATACAGTATATAGGAAACAAAACTGAGAAGCGAGCAATTTGTTGATGTTTGGATAAGCATGTATTACATTGCTATGATGATAATATTTCTATTTCTTTTTATCTTCACACAAATATTCTCTATTATCCTCCTATTCTGAAGGAAACAGTATTAATAGGTCATAAGAAGTACCTAAGAATAGAACACAGCTGAATACTGTCCTTGTTTATGAACATCAGACTGACCATAAAAGGCAGAATTAAACTGAAGCATTAGAAGAAAAAGACAACCAAGATGATAAAAGGGTTACATGGAAATCCATATGACACAGGAAAAAATGAAGAAACAGAAATGTTTAAAATCTAAGGAACTGAAAATATACAAAGCATTTAAAAGCTGTCCAAAGCATCAGGCAGTAATTTCCAAAGAAAAATTCAAAAATTGCATTGAACAAAAATTTTCAATTACATAAATATTATAGCAAGAAGGATAATTATGAGAAAATAATAATGCTTTGTAATCTAAGTTCTAAAATTTTTATTTTTAAAAACTGTGCTACTTTATCCTTATAGTAAAAGCTTTCTTACATTTATTTAACTACAAGCATAATTTTAAAAGTACCTGTTCATATCTTAACATATTTCTTAAAAACGAAGACCAACTTAATTTGATATTATACTTAATATTTCAATGTTTTCAATGTACCTGAATTAATGCAAGAAACAGGAAAGAATAATATAACCTCCTAATCTTTGTAAACATTTTTTTCTTGTTGACCTAAAACTTTTTTAAAACTGTAAAAAACAAATGTTCTTTATAAAACTCTACAGATAAAACTTCTACAGCATTAGTATATATTTAGAAACAGAAGACTAATGGAACTAGTCTTAATCATGGCATGTAACACATTTCTGGAGAACAAAAGGCAAGTGGTTTGTTCAAATGAAGATGTTTCTTTTCGTAAATTATTTGAAGTCTGATACTATTTACATTACTTCTTATCTTACAAAAAGCTTGCTGTCATGTTGTAACAAAGCAACCATATAATTAATGCTAACTAGTTTCTGTGAACAATACAGAGTTCTCTTCAAACAAATGTAAGTTCTAGACAGTATGAATAATACCTTTAGCCTGTGAAAGCGAACAATATCTCCATTTTTATAAATTATTGGAAGGGCTTCATAGTTTCCACTAAAGAGCAGGCAAGTTAATTTTACATTTGTCTGGTCCACAATTGTTACAACTGTGCAATAATCTGGAAAACACAAAAATATTTTACCGGACTTTCAATATTTTAAAATAAGAATATGCTTACTTCAAAACACCAAACTATATTCTTTCTTTTATTAAGTCTTCTAAGAAGAGGATTAAAACAGAGACATTTTCTTGGCTTTCAATACACATTGCAAAATTATTTTGCAGAAGTGTTCCAGAAAAATTAATTTTAAAAAGTTCAGTAAAACAAAAATAAAAATCTCATTCAGTGTAAATTGTCTGTTAAGAAAATAATCTTTCTTATTGCTTCAAAGTTTATAAATCAAGAAACATAAACATGGTCAAATAAGAAAAATGCAACTTATAAAATAAACACAAATTTAGAATGAAAACAAAGGCTAAGATATTTTCAGCAGATATGAAGAGTATCTATACTGCCTAAAGAACTTATAAAATTGTTATAAAAATTAGGATGATATAGTAAATGTGTCACACAAATGAATAAACAATTCATAGAAAACTATGTCATAATAAAAAAAGAGAAAATGGTATTTGTTGCTAGTCACCTATAAAAATTATTCAGTATAACAAAAGAGAAGTATTTTATATAATTTAAACTGAGAGAAAAATTTAATAATATTTGGGTTGCTATAAAACAATAACTTCAAACACTGGTGGTAATAAAAACTGTAATACATCCTGCCTTAAATTTTTTTTAAATTAACACATAAAAGATTGTATGTATTTATCATGTGCTATAGATGGTTTTGAAGTACACATACATTGTGAAATCACCAAATCTAGCCAATGAAAATACACATATTACCACACATATTTTTGCAGTGAGAACACTTTACATCCATTTTCTTAGCATTTTTCAAGAATACATTTTTCACTAGTCACGTTGTACAATAGAACCTCTGAACTTATTCTTCCTAACTCAAATATTGCATTCTTTGACCACCAATTCTCCAAACCCTCCCCATAGCCACACAGGCCCCTGGCAGTAACTGTGTACTCTACTTCCAGGAGATCAATTTTTCAAGGTTCTGTGCCTGGCCTATTTTACTTAACAATATATCCGGGTTCATCCATGTTGTTATAAATGACAATTTCCTTCTTATGTCTAAGTAGTATTCCACTGCGTATACAGACCACGTTTTCATTATTCATCCATTAACAGATGCTTAGGTTTATTCTATACCTGACTGTTGTGAATAAGCCTGCAATGAACATGGGATTGTCTCTTCAACATACTGATTATTTCCTTTGATATACATAGTATATCCACGGTTTCAGTTATCCACAGTCAACCATGATCTATAAATATTTAATGGAAAATTTGAGAAATAATGTGAATTATTCCTTCATGCAGGGAAACCATACTGTCCATGCTCCCTGACAGTTTGTCACTTAGAAGCTGTTTTGGCTATCATTATCAACTGTTGAGGTATCAGAGTGCTTATAATCATGTAACCCTTATTTTACTTAATAATGGCCCCAAAATACGAAGGTGATGTGGTAAGTGCTTAATTAAACTTTATCATAGGTATCTATCTTTAGGAAAAAACAGTGTATAAAGAGTTGAATACCATCCATGGTTTTGGGCAGCTGCTGGGGGTCTTGGAGCGTATCCCCTTTGGGCAAAAGAAAAGTACATACCCAGTAATGGGATTATGGGATCATACGGTAGCTCTAATTTTTGGAAGAACCTTTATATTGTTTTCTAATACCTGTGCTAATTTACATTGCCACCTACAATGTGCAAAGGTTACCCTTTCTCACACCCTTGCAATGCTAGTCTTCTGTCTTTTGATAACAGCTATTCTAGTAGGTGTGAAGTGATATCCTGTGGTTTAATTTGCATTTCTATAATCATTATAGTGATGTTGAACATCTTTTTGCGTACTTTTCTGCCATTTGTATGTCATTTTCAAAGAAAGGTCTATTCAGGTCCTTTGCCTATGTTTAAATTGGGTTGTTTTCTAGCCATCTAGTTGAGTTTCTCATATACTGTAGATATTAACCCATTATCAAGTATATAGTTTGCAAATATTTTCTCCCATTCTATAGATTGTCTCTTTATTGATGTTGGCTGTGCAGAAGCTTTTTAAGTTTGATATAATCCCATTTGTCTATTCTTGCTTTCATTGCCTGAGCTTTTGAGGTCCCTTCCAAAAAAATCTTTGCTTGAATTAATGGCATGGAGCTTTTCCCCTATGTTTTCTTCCAGTAGGTTCATAGTCTGGGTCATACATTTAAGTATATAATCCATTTTAAGTTACTTTTTGTACAAGGTATGAAATAAGGTTCTAGTTTCCTTCTTCTGCATGTGGATATCCAGTTTTCCCAACACCATTTACTGAGGTGACTGTTCTTTCCTCATTTTGTGTTCTTGGCACCTCTGTCAAAAATCAGTTGGCTCTAAACGAAGAGATTTATTTGAGGCCTCTCTATTTTGCTCCATTGATCTATAAATCTGTTTTTATGCCACTATCATAGTGTTTTGCTCACTATAGCTTTGTACAGTTAAGTCCTCACTTAACACTGGTTCCTGGAAACTGTGACTTCAAGCAAAACAACACATAATGAAATCAGTTCTATCATAGGTCGATTGATATATATATAAGCAGTTAAGTTCCTATGTCATATTTCTGGTCAAAAACCATCACCAAACTTCTATATGAACACTTAATATCAAACATTAAATTCTAATCCCAAAAAATAAATGCGAGCCATATGTACATTTAAGAAAGACTGCTTTCAAAAAGCAAGATAATTATTTACTCTATTTTGGTAAGTTAGTGAGTGATGACAGTCCTAAGTGGCAGTGGGTTAAAACAAGGAGTACATGTTTGCAAAATGAAAAATTTAAAAACTACCTCCTACCACCATACAATTCAAAAACAATAACAAATATGGTACCCTTAGTGTGCACTTCTGTACTGTACCGCTTCATTTGTTGTCACAGATTTTATAATTATTTTTTGAATGTTTATTTTACTGTAATTTGTATTCATTCATTCACTCAATCATTCATGCATTTTCCAACCTGCTTATTCCAGTTCAGGCTCATGAGTGGCTGAAGCCTATCTGGGCAGATTGGGGTGCAAGAGGTTGGCCAACCCTGAACAGGCTCCATTCCATTGCAAGGAGCACTCACACACACCCACATTCATTCATAGTGGAACAATGCAGACATGCTAATTAATCCAATGTATACATTTTTAGGATCTGAGAGGAAATGAGAAAACCCATGCAGACTTGGTTAAGAATGTATAAACTCAACACAGACAGTGGCCCTTTGTAGGAATCAATTTTTTTGCTTATCAACATTACAACAAGATGATGTTGAACAAAATGATGTTATTCAAAGACCTGCTGTATTACATTTTGATGTTAAATAGTGTGATACCTACAGTTTTATTCTTTTTGCTCAAAATTGCTTTCATTATTTGGAGTCTTTGGTGACTTCTTACAGATTTTAGAATTGTTTTTTCAATTTCTATACAGAATGTCATTGGTATTCTGACAGAGATTACAATGAATCTATAGATCACTCTGGGAAGTATGGACATTTCAACAACATGGTTTGAGTTAATATTGTTGAAATGTCCATGCTATCCAGAGTGAATTCAATCCATGAACATGAGATATCTCTCCATTCATTGGCATCTTCAATTTCTTTCATCAGTATTTTACAGATTTCATTGTAGAGATCTTTCACCTTCTTGGTTAAATGTATTACTAACCACAAACCAAAGAAGGCAAAGGACACAAAGAAATTTAGAGAATGACGACTATGTATTATGTACATACATATGTATATATATGTATTATCTTAATGATTATTTCACACATATATGTGAAATATATATGTGAAATACATATGTGAAATCAAGATAATACATATATACATATGTATATACATAATACATACATAATACATATATATACATATATACATAGATATGTCAAAACACAGTTAGCTGTACCTTTAAAGATGTGCCCTTTATTGTATATATCAATTATGCCTCAATAAAGCTGGAACAAATGTATTCCTATGTATTTCATTTTCTGTAGCCATTGCAAATGAAATTGCTTTCCTGAGTTCTTCCTTGGCTACATTATTATTAGTGTATAGAAATGTTTCTAACTTTTGTATGTTGATTTCGTATCCTGCAACTTCACTGAATCCGTTTATCAATTCTAAATTTTTTTTGGTGGAGTCTTTAAGGTTGTCTATATGTAAGATCATACTGTGTGCAAAGAGGGACAATTTAACTTCTTCCTTTTCAGTTTGAATGCCTTTTATCTTTTCCTCTTGCCTAATTGCTCTGGCTAAGACTTCTACTAGTACTACATTGAAAAGAAGTGGCAAGAGGTGGGTATCTTGTTACAGATCTCAGAGGAAAAACTTTCAACTTTGTCTGCATTTATTAAAATGATCATATAATTTTTATGCTCCATTCTTCTAATAAACATTTGATTTGTGTATGGGGAACTATCCTTACATACCTGGAATTAATCCTACTTGGTCATGGTGAACAGATTCTTTAATTTGCTGTTGAATTTGGTTTGCTAGTATTTTGTTGAGGATTTCTGCATCTATATTGGCCTGTCGTTTTTTTGCTTGTTAGCTTTTATTGTGTCTTTGTCTGTCTTCAGTATCAGGGTGATACTGGCGTCCTAAAATTAGTTTGGAAATATTCCCTTCTCTTCAATTTTTGAAACAGGTTGAAAAGAATTGGTAGTAGTTCTCCATTAAACATTTGATAGAATTTGAGTCTGCCTGTATACATGATTCAGAAAATGCACTGACTTTCTGTCCTTCCTAGTTCCCTGGTAATTAAAGTATAGAGATTGAAAGGAACAAACCCCGAAACAGTGAAGGAAAGGAGAGTGGGAGAAAATATCAACATATTTCAGGACAATGGAAAGTAAGTGGTTAAGGGATAAACAGAGGAGGCCAAATCCAGAAGATACTACAAAGAGAAGATGGGAACCACTGGGTTTAAGGATGAGCGTAAAAAGTAGAGC